TCCAGGGACAGAGCCGCGCGCACCATCACCCTGACTCAGTCACACTTGGTGCGCCAGGTCCTTCAGAGGTTCGGCCTTCAGTTCTCCTCCGCACAGCCCACCCCTCTTCCTCTGGACCACAGACTCTCCGCTCCAGTTCCTGAGGAGTCGGTAGATCCCAGTGGTCCTTACGCTGAGCTAGTGGGTTGCCTCATGTACCTGATGACTTGCACTCGCCCAGATCTCGCATACCCTCTCAGCATCCTGGCTCGTTTCGTGGCCACAGGCAGACACCGACCTCAGCACTGGTCTGCCGCTAAGAGGGTTTTGCGTTATCTTGCAAGTACATCGGGCATGGGGTTAGTGCTAGGCGGACGCAGGCCAGTGGTCCTTACTGGACACACAGACGCTTCTTGGGCAGACGACGCCGAGACGCTCAGGTCTTCCCAGGGCTACTGCTTTAGCCTTGGCTCAGGTGCTGTCTCGTGGAGAGCTACCCGCTCCTCGTCTGTTGCCCAGTCCAGCTGTGAGGCTGAGATCTACGCCGGTGCCATGGCGGCACAGGAGCTCCGCTGGCTGACCTTCTTGCTCACTGACTTAGGTGAGCGGCCTAGCTCTGCCCCGGTCTTGTACGCTGACAACAGGGCCATGATCCTCCTGTGTCAGGAGCCTCGACTCGAGGGTAGAGCGAAGCACATCCAGCTGCGGTACTTCCTCCTGCGCGAGCTACAGCAGCGTCGCCAGGCTCGCGTAGTACACTTGGCCTCCGGTGCCAACACAGCTGATATCTTTACGAAGGCGCTTGCGCCTAAAGATCATCAGCGGCACTGTGTACAGCTTGGTCTGGTTCCTGTAGTCCCTCACTTACTCGGGCCTTGACTTTGTACTGTCCTATATATATGTGTACACTCAGACTGGACTTGTGTCCTCTCACAGTGGTTGGACTAGTAGTGCCGCCCTGTACTTGTTCTTGTCTTGTCTGTACTCCTTCTGACTGGTCTTTTAGACCCTTGTCTCAGAGGCTGGACTAGTAGTGCCGCCCTGAGCTGCTTGTCTAGGACATTCCCCTATGCAGTCCAAGGGGTGTGTCAAACATGTATTATTGATCATGTTTGTATAGACTGTATAGGGTAACCTCCTAGAGGGTACAACATTTAGGTATATGTGCATGTACTCTCTAACACTATAATCATTTAAAATTCTAGTTTTGAGAACGGGCAGTGGCTAAGCGGTCAGGCAGGCGCATGGCAATAAGGTACAGGGTAGCACAGAACGGCGGGGGGAAAGCAGTGAGCTGGGCGGCAGTGCTAGCAGCGCAGTAGCTAGTCTCGAGGGCACGTAGGTGAGTGGCGAGATCAGCGACAGTGGGGAAAGCAGAGAGATCGGGGAAGAGCATGGGGAGGATCAAGCGGCCAGCTGAGGCGGAGGTAGGCGTGGAGTAGCGTGCAACTACTGCATCTAGGAAATCTTTGGCATTTGCTACAGCAGTGAAGCGGGGACGCTCAGATAGGGGAAGCGCATAACTAATGGCAAGCTGCGCTACGGCATCGCGAGAATCCCAGACAGTGCGAGCGAGCGCAGCAGCAGCAGCAGCAAAGGCCCCATTCTCATAAGTGGTGGGGTCAGCAGGGAGGGGAGCAGGCGCAGGGGGCAGGGGATCAAGCCATCAACATGCATAGCCAGGGAGTGCCCATCCTGGTGCTGACCTGTGAGGGGGGGGGGGGGGGGGGGGCGGCTGGGCGCGAAGGGCCGGCTGGGCGCGATGGGCCGACTAGGCGAGGGAGGGACCGGCTGGGCGCGAGAGAGGCTGGCTACAGCGTGAGGGGCCGGCTGGGCGCGAGGGGCCGACTAGGCGCGCGAAGGGCCAGGTGGGCGCGAGGGGCCCACTAGGCACGGGAGGGGCCGGCTACGGCATGAGGCGCCAGCTACGGCGCGAAAGGGGGCCGGCTAGGCACGAGGGGCCGGCTACGGCGCAAAGAGCCGGCTAGGAACGAGGGCCCGGCTAGGCGCACGAGGGGCCGACTAGGCGAGAGAGGGTCCGGCGGACGCGCGAGGGGCTGGCGAGGCGCGGTAGGCTAGGGCGCGGGGCGGAAGTGGGTGGGTGGACCTAACCTACTCATGATACCATGTTAGAATACTCGAATAGATTAGCAAGAAAGGAGAACAAGGGAAATATAGGGTTTGGGTTGTACTCTCTAAGAACACACACTTATTCTAGCCTATAACTTCTACATGCAAATGTATGTTTCAGTTGACAATAAGGGCCTATGGCAAGTACAATCGCTGTGATTCTCCGCTCCCATCATCCGGTCGGTTACCTCTATACCTCTTGTAAGAAATTTTCTATTCCTTACCGAGCGATACTGCTATCGCGTACGCTCGAACATACCCGAAAGTCTGAAGCCTCGAGACAAGGCCCAAAATTGGTTTTGGGCTTGTCTGATTCATCAGACTTGCCTGCCAACTTATGCGCGTATTATGGCCTTCAGAGTCGCCCCTTAAAAAAAGTCTGGAAAATCAGAGCAACAAGAGATGTTTTGTCAGATTAATCAGAGTTTCCATTATTTTTAACTCTGATTTCAAAGTTGGTGTTTTGCACATTACTTTTCCCTTCCCTTCCCAATCGCTGCCCTCAGGCTTCTCCCTTGAGGGGCTTCCCCTCTTGCATGCACTAGCTATCTGTGTTCTGGCGACAGCACGGTATTTCACACCACCCTAGACCCGACCCGCGAGAAGAGGACTTCTTACGAGTGGGGGGAGAAGCAGCAGCTGCGTTTGAGGCATTAAAAACTCTTTTAATGTCGCCACCCGTACTTCGCATCGCTGACCCGGAACGGCCCTTCGAAGTTATAATCGACGCAAGTGACATCGCCATTGGAGCAGTGCTCATGCAAGATTTTGGCAATGGTCTTCAACCAATCGCGTACGAGTCTCGAAAAATGCAATCTGTTGAGCGCAACTACCCGGTACACGACAAGGAGATGCTGGCGATTGTCCACACGTTCAAAATCTGGAGGTGCTACCTGACTGGAGCAGACGTGACAGTGCGAACCGACCATAAATCTCTACAGTACGTGAGGGCGCAGCCGGATCACAATTCGCGGCAGATACGTTGGCTGGACTATCTGGAGTCCAACTTCACGTACAAGATCACGTACAAAAAGGGCGCCAACAATATTGCTGACGTAGGAATTTATCGGGACATATCGAGGTTGATAAAACTCTGAAGGCATTGCAGCGGTTTTATTACTAGCCAGATATGGTGACGGACATGCAGCGTTATGTGGTCGCGTGTCCAATCTGCCAGCGAATGAAATCATCACATCAGAGACCGACAGGACTGTTGCAGCCTTTCGAGCCACCTCAACACCCATGGCAAAACGTGACGATGGATTTCGTCACAGGTCTGCCAGCCGAATCTAGCGGAAACAGCGCAGTATTGGTTGTCGTCGACCGATTGACGAAAATGACGCATTTCGCACCATGTCGTACAACCATCACAGCTGAGGAAACCGCGCGGCTGGTCATCTCGACCGTTGTTCGCCTACACGAGATACCAGCTGCAATCATTAGCGATCGAGACCTGAAGTTCACGTCGAATTTTGGCAGGACACATGGGCTCGGTACGGCACGCGCCTGCGATTCTCATCCGCTTATCATCCTCAAACGGACGGTCAGACAGAGAGGACAAACCAAACGATGGAACATCTGATTCGGACAAACCGCCCCCACCGCAACAAATGGGAGGACACACTTCCCATTTTGGAATTCTCCTACAACAATGCGCCCTCAGCTACGACTAATCACTCCCTGTTTTACCTCAATTACGGGATGGACCCGACAGTACCTATCTCTACCAACGTTGAGAGTCAAGTACCACGGTCGCAGCAGTTCGTCGAAGAATTACAGACTGCCCGAGACAAAGCTGTCGAACTTATTCGCAAGGCGAACGCTACTGCCCGACGGGTAGCGGATTTACATCGACGGGGTATTACAATGGCAGCAAGACAACTAGTCCTTTTGGACACCAAGAACTTACGCCTGCCCACTACTGACGAAATTACGACCACATTTCTGTGGCCCATTCAAGAGCATGAAGATGGTGATGCCGGTGACCGCCCAGTTGCGCCTACCTGACGATTGGTGTATTTACAACAAGTTCCACGTGAGCCTATTGCGACCATTCGTACCTGACACATCGGACATCGCTCGACAGCGATTGGTCCCGGATGTACGGCCACCAGCAGAGACGACCATCGAGCCTTCGAAGATTTTGAGTCATCGGATCCGTATCGACGGCCAAGGACGACACGTTGATTTTGTGATACGATGGACCAATCGTACCAGTGAGGACGACATGTGGGTGCCCTCGGACCAGATATAGTCACCTTCGATACTTGCGAATTATTTGGCCCGCAAGCACGCGACTGATATAGATCACCTTCGCTAAGGAGGGGGTGGTGTAAGGATTTTTCTATTCCTTATCAAGTGGTACTGCTATCGCGTACGCTCGAACACACCCGAAGCCTCGGGACGGTTCCGGACCTTTCTGATAGAACCGCATTGGCTCCTCTAGACCTTCTAGTTCGACCTTCGGGAGTTCTTCGGGCCTCACTCCGTCATTTCGAGACCCTTCGATATCTTTCCCGAACCTTCACGCCTCATGGTTAGACTAGCTCTGGTGTTCCTATATATTGGCTGGACATTCCTTGTATTGTATCGTCATTTCAGTGATTCAACACTTCGTTATCATTTCCGCGCTACTCTGCTTGTTCATTCATAACACCTCTCAACAATTGTTTGTAACAAAACAAATCACACTGTACCGCGTTGTACCAGACCTCCATTCTGGTCCCATCGTTTCGACTTCTACTTGCCACACGCCCTAAAGCGAGGATCTCAAGGAGCAAAAAACCAAACCCGAAGGTTTCGGTTTGGGGGGGTCGCAAAAATGCGAGGTGTGGTGAATGAAGGGAGCTAAGAAGCCGCTGGTACTGTTTTGCTCATTTCGCCAACCTGAAACCAAACCTTTTGGATTTGGTTTCGTGCTTCTTGAGATCCTCGCTCTAATCGGAATGTCCCACATCTTTACAACATCCGCCACTTGCATCCGTAAATTATAGCCGTTGGGCTGGTCGGACTAACGGAGCCGGGGAATCCCAATGAATGCGGGCCGTGATTGCTGAATGCCTGTTCCGTACAGTACAGTATCTCAGTCAGGGTCGAAACGCTCATCTTCTCTCCTGCTGGGAATAGTCAGTCAGGCTCGTCAGGCTCGTCAGGCTTTCTCCTGAAATGCCACATTCCGTTTCTTATCTAGATAACTTATTCCGATGCTGGCGTCCCTTCGCGCTTTGCAGGTTGTGGTTCCCCTAGCGGGGCGCAGGCAGTCCCGCTCGCCACTACCACACTCGTTACAATGCCCTCGCGATACTTGCGTTCCTGGGTCCGTTAATGTGAACCTCGCGAAACGGTCGACGTCCTTAGCGAAACCGGTAACGACACACGATGTTGTCAAAACCACTCTTGTTTCGCCTGTTCGTGCTAGCAAGGATCCGGCGACCGTCAGGGATACCGGCGGCAAGCTGACGGAAAAGTTGTCGGACTCCATACTTGGCCGGCAGACGGAAAACGTTCATGACTTGTTCGTCTTTGGACGAGAGCTAGGAAGGGGTCAGTTCGGCGTGACATACGTATGCACGGAGAAGCGTACAGGTCTACAGTACGCGTGTAAGCTTATATCGAAGAAGCAGCTCATAACGAGTGACGACGTGGAGGATATCAAGAGAGAAATCGCAATTCTTTACCTCTTGTCGGATCATCCGAATGTGATTAATCTGAAAGGTTCTTATGAAGACAATTCCGCGGTGTATATAGTCATGGAGCTCTGTACAGGAGGCGAGTTATTCGATCAGATAATATCGAGGGGACACTATAGCGAGCGCGCAGCAGCGAACGTCCTGCGTGTGATTGTATCGGTGGTGGGTACTGCCATGCCAACTACGTGGTTCACAGGGACTTAAAGCCCGAGAACTTTCTTGTAGCGAGCGACGAGGAGGGAGCGCCTCTTAAAGCTGTTGACTTTGGTCTCTCTGTCTTCTATCGTCCGGGTAAATATACCTCCCTTGCTGTCTGCGTTTGAGTCGACTCAAAAGCAGAATCTGTCTCCATTGCTATTTCGTCCACCCACCTTCCGAGCTTCAATTTCACCCCTCACTCCCTCGCCCTCACTCCCTCTCACCCCTCACTCCCTCTCGCCCCTCACTCCCTCTCGCCCCTCACTCCCTCTCACCCCTCACTCCCTCTCGCCCCTCACTCCCTCTCGCCCCTCACTCCCTCTCGCCCTCACTCCCTCTCGCCCCCCCCCCCCCTCCCGCAACTCCCCCTTCTTTCCCCCCTTTCCTCTTGCACCTGGTCCCTGCACTGCTCCCACACCCTCCGTCCATCCCCGTTACAAGGCCATCCGCTGCACACAGTAGCGGGCAGCGCGTTCTACATGGCACCCGAGGTGATTCGAGGCAGCTACGGCCCCGAGGCGGACATGTGGAGCGTGGGGGTGATGCTCTACATCCTGCTCTCGGGCGTGCCACCCTTCTGGGCGGGTGAGTGTCTAATCTCGCTATAAGGTCATCCGCTACACGCAGTAGTGAGCATGTGGAGTGCATTCTGCGTTCTACATGACCCTGGGATCGCTCAGCTTCGGCCGTGAGGCCGACATGTGGAGTGTGGGGGTCATGCTCTACATCCTGCTCTCGGGAGTGCCACCCGTCTGGGTAGGTGAGTGGCTGTACCCCTTATAAGCATTCCAGTTGGGATCGAAGCCTGCCAGCTATGGCCCGGAGTCGGACTTGTGGAGCATGAAATGCTCTACATCCTGCTCTCGGGCGTGCCACCCTTCTGGGCGGGTATGTCTCTATCCTCACTATGAAGTCATCCACTACACGCAGTAGAGGGCAGTGCATGGTGCATTCTACATGGTCCTGGGGTTGCTTAGCAATGACCCTGAGGCTGACGCGTGGAGTTTGGGGGCCACGCTCTGCATCCTGCTCTTGGGCGAGCGGCGTGCCACCCTGCTGGGCGGGTGAGTGTGTATTCTCGTTATAACGTCATCCGCTACACGCAATAGTGAGCATGCGGAGTGCATTGAGCGTTCTGCCTCCTCATCCTGGGATCACCCAGCGACGGCCCTGAGGCGGACATGTGGAGTGTGGGGATCATGCTCTACATCCTGCCCTCCGGATGACTAGTTTTGAAGCGCCTCAAAACTGGACATGTGAAGTGTGGGGATCATGCTCTACATCCTGCCCTCCGGATGACCTTTGGGCGGGCCGCGGGTGAGAGCTTGTGAGGGGGGGAGGTGGGGGAACTTGGATAATGAAGGGAATTTAGGAGGAAGGGGAAAACGATAAGGCATTCTGCCTGCCACTCATCTGGCTTCCCCTCTCTGCTGCCGTTCACCACCACTCACCACTGCCCATTGTCCCTTTGTTTTCAACCTCCCTCTTAATCTTCAACCCTATCTCTTATTCTCCCTCCCAGCACTCACTCCTTCCCCTCTTTCCCCATCCACCCTTCTCCCCCCTCTTCCTCCCCTCCCCTCCCCTCCCTCCCCCCCCCACCTTTTCCACCCTACAGAGACAGATGAGGGGATATTTGAGGAGATTCTGTGGGGGCACGTGGACCAATCAGAGGAGCCCTGGCCGCAGGTGTCACCTGAGGCGAAGCAGCTGGTGCAGAGTCTGCTGCAGCAGGAGGCAGGCAGACGACCCACAGCAGCGCAAGTCATGGGTATGTGTGAGAGAGTGTATGCAAGTCATGGGTATGTGTGAGAGAGTGTATGCAAGTCATGGGTATGTGTGAGAGAGTGTATGCAAGTCATGGGTATGTGTGAGAGAGTGTATGCAAGTCATGGGTATGTGTGAGAGAGTGTATGCAAGTCATGGGTATGTGTGAGAGAGTGTATGCAAGTCATGGGTATGTGTGAGAGAGTGTATGCAAGTCATGGGTATGTGTGAGAGAGTGTATGCAAGTCATGGGTATGTGTGAGAGAGTGTATGCAAGTCATGGGTATGTGTGAGAGAGTGTATGCAAGTCATGGGTATGTGTGAGAGAGTGTATGCAAGTCATGGGTATGTGTGAGAGAGTGTATGCAAGTCATGGGTATGTGTGAGAGAGTGTATGCAAGTCATGGGTATGTGTGAGAGAGTGTATGCAAGTCATGGGTATGTGTGAGAGAGTGTATGCAAGTCATGGGTATGTGTGAGAGAGTGCATGCAAGTCATGGGTATGTGTGAGCACCAAACAGGAGTGCCCTGCCTTTTTGAGGCGCCTCAAAAATCCAAACAGGAGTGCCCTGCCTTTTTGAGGCGCCTCAAAAATCCAAACAGGAGTGCCCTGCCTTTTTGAGGCGCCTCAAAAATCCAAACAGGAGTGCCCTGCCTTTTTGAGGCGCCTCAAAAATCCAAACAGGAGTGTAGTGCCTTTTTGAGGCGCCTAAAAAATCCAAACAGGAGTGCCCTGCCTTTTTGAGGCGCCTAAAAAATCCAAACAGGAGTGCCCTGCCTTTTTGAGGCGCCTCAAAAATCCAAACAGGAGTGCCCTGCCTTTTTGAGGCGCCTCAAAAATCCAAACAGGAGTGCCCTGCCTTTTTGAGGCGCCTCAAAAATCCAAACAGGAGTGCCCTGCCTTTTTGAGGCGCCTAAAAAATCCAAACAGGAGTGCCCTGCCTTTTTGAGGCGCCTAAAAAATCCAAACAGGAGTGCCCTGCCTGCCTTCCATCCCCGCCTTCCTTCCCGTCAAACTGAGCACAGGCCATCCTTCCTTCCTTCCATATCCGCCTTCCTTCCATCCCCTTCCTTCCTTCCATATCCGCCTTCCTTCCATCCCCTTCCTTCCTTCCATATCCGCCTTCCTTCCATCCCCTTCCTTCCTTCCATATCCGCCTTCCTTCCATCCCCTGCCTTCCTTCCATATCCGCCTTCCTTCCATCCCCTTCCTTCCTTCCATATCCGCCTTCCTTCCATCCCCTGCCTTCCTTCCATATCCGCCTTCCTTCCATCCCCTGCCTTCCTTCCTGTCAGACCATCCGTGGGTGCGGGAGGGAGGAGTGGCAGCAGACGTTCCCTTGGCACCAGCTGTGCTCACGAGATTGAAGCACTTCTCAGCCATGAACAGAATGAAGCGCCTGGCGCTTAAACTCATGGCCTCGCATGTCTCTGATGCGGAGGCGATGGGGCTAAGAGAGATGTTTAAAGCCATGGATGGGGATGGCAGTGGGACGATCTCATTGGCTGAGCTCCGGGATGGGCTTGAGAGGCTCGGATCTGCCGTGCCTAAGGAGCAGCTTCGGCAAATGATGGCAGCGGTGGGCCCGTCTGTCCCTTTTCCCATTGTTCGTTTTAATAGCGTTTGTTTTACGTGTTTAGTTAATTTGAAACCTCTTACAGCCCCATTTCTCGTGCTGTACTTGCATGTGCTTGTAGAAGTCTGACTGCGATCCCCTCCGCATGTGCTTGTAACAGGCGGATCTGGACAGCAGTGGCAGCATTGACTATAACGAGTTTGTGGCAGCCAACATGCGAGTCAGCAGGGAGACACGGTTGGCTCACCTGCAGCAGGCTTTCGCACACTTTGACACTGACGGCAACGGGTAAGTTGCTTTTGAATCGTCTCAAAGGCACTTCGACACCGATGGCAACGGGTAAGTTGCCCGAGTACACCCAGATCCAGGGGAACTTGGTTGAGTGAACGCACAGTGGACAAATCTGAATGGAGCGACCAGCACCTTGGTGTCCCAGTGGATGAGCAAATAGCAGTGTTGGCATGCTGTTCTATTTTTGAGGCGCCTCAAAAATAGACTCCTCATGCGTGGATGAGCAAATAGCGGTGTTGGCATGCTGTTAGCAAGTACGTTCACTTCTCTAATGCTTCTTCTTAATGTCCACAGAAGCTATCGCACTCCCCTGTCCCCATTGTTGGCAGATTCGTTACAGGGGATGAGCTGCGCAGTGCGCTGGAAAGTGAGGCTGGAAGTGCCGGGGTTGGTGAGGCGGAGATAAAGAAGATATTTGCGGATGTTGATTCTGATAAGGTGAGACTTGAGGCTAATTCGGAGAAAGAAGATAATTGCGGATGTTTATCCTCGTCTTCCCCTACCCCCCCCTCTCACTCACAATATCCCACACACACAAACACGCACGCCCACCCGCCCTCCAGAATCTCACCGCCGTATTCCCCTTGGTCTCAAAATGGCAAGATTGACTTCTCTCAGTTCTGTGGCATGATGGAGCATGCAACCACCACGATGCAGCACACCACAAGGACACCCACACACACACACACACACACACACACACACACACACACACACACACACACACACCCACACACACACCCACACACACACCCACACCCACACCCACACCCACACAGACACTCACCAAAGCATTTCCCGCCCCACTCACTCCCCTCTGTCTCAGAATGGCAAGATTGACTTCTCTGAGTTCTGTGGCATAATGGAGCAAGCAACCACCAAGTTGCAGCACACCACACTAACACCCACCCACCCACCCACTCCCCCCGCCCCCCTTACAACCCCACACCCCCACACCCCCCCCCACACACACACCCACACACCCACACCCACACACACACACCCAACCAACCCACACACACGCGCACACCCACACACACACCTACGCACACACACCCACCAAAACATTTCCCACCCCACTCACTCCCCTTGGTCTCAGAATGGCAAGATCGACTTCCCTGAGTTCTGTGGCATGATGGAGCAAGCAACCACCAAGATGCAGCACACCACGAGAACCAATCACGAGGGGGACTGTGCAACCGGGGTCGCTGGCCAACGCCGGTATAACCAGGTTACCAGGGTTACCGATCAACGGCAGGCAGGCAGGCGCAAGAAGCGAGCTCGCAACAAGCCTTAAAGAGCTCGCGAGTAGTATTGAAGAGGGCGCAACAGGCCTTGAAGGTGGACAATTGATGCTAAGACAAGCCATGCTCGTAGGAAGCTTTTACATCTCCAGCTTTTGCTCTCTGCAAGTCATTTAGTGATTTTATTTCAGGAGAAAAACGTAAGTACACTGATATGGTGGAACATCTATACACCAGCAATCCCAACTTTCAACAGGAAACGTCAGTTCACCTCACCACCCCTTCCCCTTCCTCCCTCCACCCTCCCTAACCCCTGCAGCCCCTTTCCCCCCCCAACCCGTGGCCCGCCCCTCCTCCAACCCCCCCTTCCACCCTCCATCCTGCACTGCACACACGGACGAGACGCGGCGGGGATTATGAACAGCACAAGCACAGATTACACAGCACAATCTGGGGCACCTATGGTGCACACTACAGTGCATGCTACCATGCATGCTACAAGACATGCTGCAGTGGCCGCTACAGGGCATGCACGGCTGATTGGCGGTTGAGAAACGCCACGGTGGCAGCCAGCACCGGGCCCCCGACAGCTGAATGGGCGAGCTCCACCACGTCAGCATCGTCCAGCGCAACAGCGTCCTGCGTGGCCACGCAGACTGACACGTCAGTCAGCTCCTGGTGCTGACGTGGCGATGGGTACGCCACCCGGACTCTGTCTGTGCGCCAGAAGGACACGTGGAAATTGGGCGAGTCAGGGTGGGACGACAGATCCCGCCTAGACAACTCCGTAGGAGCAGGGGGTTCTGCGATAGAGGCCTGGTCTAGGGTGGGTGCTGAGGATGGGGCAGCAGAAGGGGCAGCAGAAGGGGCAGCCGAAGGGGCAGCAGAAGGGCCTGTGAAAGGGACGGCAGGAAGGCGAGGGGCAGCAGCCGGGGCAGACACAGTTGCTAATGCTGCTGCGGCTCCGGGCGTGCTTGCACGAGAAACGGAGGGTCCAGGCAAGTCTGTTGGAGGTGTTGGTTCTCCTGCAGGAATGGGTGCAGCAGCAGTGCTGGTGAGAGAACCTGTGTGAGCCACGGAGTTTGAAAGAGAAGCCGTGTAAGCAGCGGCGCCATCTCCCAGCAGCTCGGGCCGGAACTCCTCATCCCCAAACACATCTGACGCCCCCACGCCCACACCCATGCTCGTGCCTGCCCCCACCCCAACCCCCATGCCTATCTCCGTGCTTATCCCACCACCCATGCCTGTGCCCATGCCTGCGCCCATGCCACCACCCATGCCACCACCCATGCCACCACCCATGCCACCACTCATGCCTGAACTGCTGCCTTCCACCAAGACTAGATTCTCCGGACCTAGGTGTTCCGTACCTAGGCTTTCCGAGCCTAGGGCTTCCAAGCCTATGCTCCCCCCGAACGTCCTCCGGTTCGCGCGCCGAAGCTGCGCCATGTGGTGCGGGCGCATGTGGATGGTGACGTTGTCGGTTACATCTACCAGCAGCAGCTGCTGCAGCAGGGGTAACTTCAACAGTAGACAGGGAATTACGTCGCGGAACTCGTCGAAGCCCCTGATAATGGCAAAGATTATAACGGGCATCATGCGTTTTAGCGAGTCGTCGCTGGGGCCCATGACCTGCTTTAGGGTTAGGTCCACTGATGCTGCTCCTGTGCCTGCTGCTGCTGCTGCTGCTGCTGCTGCTGCTTCATGTGCGTTGTGAGACTGGGGAAAAGAGAATCCATATCGCCCCTCTCCCTGCAGCTGCTGCTGCTGCTGCTGCTGGCGCTGCTGCTGCTGCTGCTCCCCCTCCCCCTCGTCCCCTTCCCCTTCCGTCCCCCACTCCCCCCCTCCTCCCCCTCCTCCACTTCCTCCCCTTCTCTTCCCAAACGCACATCTCCATACTCCCCGCGCATATCCTCCCGCGCCGGCCCTCCCCGCATCTCCCCCGCGCGCTCTGCGCCTTCCGCCATCTCTCCGCCATCCCCACCAATGCTACTGTAAAAAACATCCGCGCTACCGGATTTCGCGGCGAGAAAGAGGAACTTATCCACAGAGGCGCCAATCTCCGCGTAGCGCATGCACTTGGTCCAGGCCTCGCTATTATCACGTCTCCCCGCCGAACCGCTCCCGCCCATCCCGTTCGTCCCGATGCGAACGCGGACTTTCTTCAAACGGGGGAATCCCTGCAGCTTATCCACTATATCCATCACCTTATCCCAATACGTCTTAAAATTTCCCGGGCAGATTAGCGTCGCGGATTCGACTTCGCGGGCTTTCCGGTGCCATAGCTTGCAGACCGACGCGCAGTGCGCGAGACAGCGGATGTCTTGTATGCTGCTCAGAATTTCGAGAAGAATATCGTCCGGGATTCGACGGAAGAGGCATACTGCTCCGTCCCCTTCCATACTCGTGTACTGGTGATTATAAAGATTGGTTGAGAGTTAGGCGCCTAAGATATGCGAGTACATAGATCTGGGTGGAAACTAAGGAACGAAGCGCTGCGAGCCTAGCTACATCTGACTAACTACTCCGTGCTATGGCGGTGTTTTTGACAGGTGGGCGCCTTATCTCTGCCGATTTCGCAGGGCAGAATGGTTGGAGGTCAAAAGCTTTGAACTTGAAAACATGGTGGCGAATTTGCGCCCGCGAACACATTACTGCTGCGAATCTGGCGAAGATGTAGAACTGTCGCAGCTGTGACCTCCAGCTGCAATCAAAGTAGTGGAGTTTGCTGCAAAAAAGCACATGGCATTTACGACAGAAAAAGAATGTACATTGAAATGCACTGCCTTATTTTACTTCATTAGCGAAGGCAGACAGTAAAGAGTCTGCGTTCTGAGGGCGGTCGAGGGCTGACTTGGGCCTGAGGGGTACTGTACCACGATTATATCCCTTCGCACCTTTTTTTGGGTTGCGGAGCAACCTATTGCAATCGATCGGGCTGGGTTTTTTTTTTTTTTTTTTTTTTTTTTGGGTTGCGGAGCAACCTATTACGATCGATTTTGCCGATTTTTTTTTCACGCGGATTTTGGGAATTATAAATAATAACTACAAAATCGAGCCATATTTTTGGACTTCCTCCTCATCTAATTAGTAAATCATATTTCTGTTGTAATATATATGCAATGGTTTGCAATCTTTGAAAGATAGCTTGTTGATTGTTGATACTGTCAAATATATGTATAACTCATATTTGTATAGACTGTATAGGGTCACCTCTTAGAGGGTACAACACTCTTAGGTATATACCCTTGTTCTCTCCCTCTATTCAATTATTCAGTTTTCTTTTTGATATGGTATCACCCGTAGGTTCGACCCCCCCCCCACCTACCGCTTCCGCCCGTTCCTCCTAGGCCCCGTCGCGCTTTCACCTAGGCCCCGTCGCGCCGCCCCCACCTAGGCCCCGTAGCGCCCCTCCTGGGCCCCTATCGCGCCTCCTAGCCCGTCGCGCCCCTCCTGGGCCCCTGTCGCGCCTCCTAGCCCGTCGCGCCCCTCCTGGGCCCCTGCCGCACCTCCTAGCCCGTCGCGCCCCTCCTGGGCCTCTATTGAGCCTCCTAGCCCGTCGCGCCCCTCCTGGGCCCCACTCGCGCCTCCTAGCCCGTCGCGCCCCTCCTGGGCCCCTGTCGCGCCTCCTAGCCCGTCGCGCCCCTCCTGGGCCCCTGCCGCGCCTCCTAGCCCGTTGCGCCCCTCCTGGGCCCCTATTGCGCCTCCTAGCCCGTCGCGCCCCTCCTAGGCCCCACTCGCGCCTCCTAGCCCGTCGCGCCCCTCCTGGGCCCCTGGCGCGCCACCTAGCCCGTCACGCCCCTCCTGGGCCCCTCTCGCGCCTCCTAGCCCGTCACGCCCCTCCTGGGCCCCTGTCGCGCCTCCTAGCCCGTCGCGCCCCTCCTGGGCCCCTGCAGCACCTGCCTGGCCCCGCCGCACCTGCTTGGCCCCGCCGCGCCTTCTGGCCCCGCCGCGCCTGCCTGGCCCTGCCGCGCCTGCCTGGCCCCGCTGCACCTGCCTGGCCCCGCCACGCCTTCTGGCCCCGCCGCGCCTGCCTGGCCCTGCCGCACTGCCTGGCCCCGCCGCACCTGCCTGGCCCCGCCGCGCCTTCTGGCCCCGCCGCGCCTGCCTGGCCCCGCCGCGCCTGCCTGGCCCTGCCGCGCCTCCTGGCCCCGCCGCCCCTGGCTGGCCTGCCGCGCCTGCCTGGCCCTGCCGCGCCTACCTGGCCCCACCGCACCTGCCTGGCCCCGCCGCGCCTTCTGGCCCCGCTGTGCCTCCTGGCCCCGCCGCCCCTGACTGGCCCGCCGCGCCTACCTGGCCCTGCCGTGCCTGCCTGGCCCCACCGTACCTGCCTGGCCCTTTCGCCCCGGCTCGTCCTGCTGTGCCGCCTCGGGCTCCGTCTCCTCCGCTCGCCCGTGCTGAGGCGCTTCGTGGCCACTGTGCTGGAGGGGGCTGTAGCTGAGTTCCTGTGGAGCTGTGCCGCTGACCCTGCACGATGGCGGACTTCGTGCTCCGACTGGACGCCGAGGGCCATGCGGTTGACTTCGCCGCCTGGCTCTCCGATCTCCACCGCCACCTCACAGGTCAGCGTCAGGATGGCCACTCTTTGGTTGTCCATGTTGACGGCTAGCTCCCCCGCCCCCCTGTACCTGCCCCCCTCCCTGTTGATTCCTCCTCTGATGACCGTGAGACCTTCTCTACTGCTGCGCTTGCCCGTGCAGTCTGGGACTCCCGCGATGCAGTCGCTCAGGTCGCCATTAGCCATGCCCTTCCTGTCTCTGAGCGCTCGCGTTTTGCTACTATTGAGACGGCCAAAGCTTACTTAGACGCTGTTATTGCCCGCTATTCCACACCCGCGTCTGCTTCTGCTGGTCGCCTGCTCTTCCCTATGCTTTTCCCAGACCTTGCAGCTTTCCCTACCGTCGCAGACTTTGCCACTCACCTGCGTGCTCTAGAGACCCGCTATCGTACTGCCAGTACTGCTGCCCAGCTCACTGCGCTCCCCCCCCCCTTCTGCATGACGCTCTATTTTATTGCCATGCGCCTGCCTGACCGCCTCGCTAGTGCTCGCGATCACTTCCTTAGCCTACACCCGGCTGACCTCACTCTCACTGCCTTTGTCGACACCCTCACCGAGATCGAGACTCGCCAACGCACTATCGCTCAGTCGAGCGGTGCGCCGGCAGTCTCTATCTTTCACGGCTGTGCCCCCTCCCAGTGCACGTTCACTGACGTTTCGGCTGCGGTCACCACGGCGACCCCTCTCACCGAGACGGCTGATGCGGTCCACCCGCAGCAGCGCTCGCGCCGCGGTGGCCGTGGTCGCCAGGGTGGTAGGGGTGGTGGTGCAGGTAGTGGTGCTGGTGGTCGTGAGAGTAGTCCGTCTAGGGGGACTAGCATTGGTGGTCAGGAGCAGCAGCCCCAGCCGCAGCAGGAGCAGCCCGCGCCGCAGCCGCCATCCCAGTAGCAGCCGCCGTCCCAGCCGCAGCCCCCGCAGCAGTGGGCTCGCCTCCCGCCTGGTTGGCCCGGCTCCTCAGGGGGTGGTGGCAGCGGTGGCGGCCCGCGCAGCTTGGCGTCTACCAGCGGCTCCGGTTCCCCCCTTGCGACGTTCCCCAGCGACCCGATGTCCGGTCTGTTTTCCCTAGACACCGCCTCCCCTCCGGTTGGTGCGTCCTCCCAGGTTGCTGCAGCTTGCTCGTGTCGTTCCCTCACTCACCCGTCCCTTCTCTGGCACCACCGCTTAGGTCACCCTGCTCTCCCTCGTCTGCGTCACATGTCCCAGCACGGCCTTGTCTTAGGTCTCCCTGTGTCGCTCCCCGCCCTTCCTCCCTCGACTGCGCCACCGTGCACGCCTTGCGTCGAGGGCCGGTTCCACCGTGCCCCTCACTCCTCCTCGCTGCGCCCTGCTACTGTCCCCCTTCAGACCCTGCACCTGGACGTTTGGGGCCCTGCCCCCGTCCCCGGACCGCGCGGTGAGCGCTACTTCCTTGTACTCGTCGACGACTACACGTGCTACACCACGGTGTTTCCCTTCGAGCGGAAGGCCGACGTGCCCGACGTTCTTCTCCCGTGGGTTGTGGCTGCGCGTCTCCACCGCGGTCTCCCCGTGTTGTGTCTCCACTCCGACCGTGGCGGCGAGTTCGCCTCTGGTCGGCTTGGACAGTTCTGTCGTGCGGAGGGCATCACCCAGTCGTACACCTTGCCGGACTCGCCACAGCAGAATGGGGTTGCTGAGCGCCGCATCGGCTTGGTCATGGAGGTCGCCCGCACCTCCATGATCCATGCCGATGCCCCCCATTTTCTGTGGCCGTTCGCTCTTCTCTACGCTGCTCACCAGCTTAACCTGTGGCCACGCTCCCAGCGGCCGCAGGTTTCGCCGACCCTTCTTTGGACCGGGTCCCCCGGTGACGCGTCTGCGTTCCACGTCTGGGGCTGCCTTGCTCACGTTCGTGCCTCTGGCACGGACAAGGTCACTGCCCGCACTGTCCCCTGTGTCTTCCTCGGTTTCCCCCTGGACTCGTCTGACTGGCTTTTCTATCACCCGCCGTCTCATCGCTTCCTCCACTCTCGTGACGTTACCTTTGACGAGTCCATCTCCTTTTACCGCCGCTTCCCTTACCGAGGTCTCCCAGTTGCCCCCCCCCTGTTCCTTGCTCCCTCTCCCCCGGTAGCCCCTGCCCCTCTCCCGCCTCGTCCTGCCCCGTCTGGTGTCTCTCACGTCACTCCCCTCCCGTCGGTTGTCCCCGTTGAGGAGTCTGCCGACTCTGGTGGTAACCCCGGTTTGTCCATGCCGCGTCCCCCTTCCCCGGTGCCTCCGCCCCCACTGTCGCAGCCGTCGTCGCCATCGCCGCCGCAACCGTCGCCGCTGCCGCCGCTGCCGCAGCCGTCGCCGCCGCAGTCGTCGCCGCCACTGCCGCCGCCGCTCTTGGCTTCTGGGGGTGCCGCTGGTGTTGGAGGGGGTTCTCGCTCTGGGGGTGTTGGTTCTGGGGGTGCTACTGTTGAGTGTTCTGCCGACGGTCGTTCTGCCTCTGCTGGTCCGAGAGTTCCGGCCCAGCCTTCTTCGCCGCCGCAGCAGCCGTCGCCGCCGGTCTCCGCTCTCCGCCTACTCGACCTTCCCTCCCCGTACCGCGTGCCGGTATCTCCCCCACCGCCCGCTGATCTTCCTGTCTACGGTCCTGTGTTCTCGCCGCCGAACTCGTCTCCGGCCCGTCTTCCTCCTCGTTCCCCTCCTGTGTCTCTTCCGCTGTCCCCTGACCCCACCCCTCCGTCTCACGTTTGGGCTCGTCGTCCCTCCCGTGCTCGTCCCGTCTCTCCTGTCCTGCCCACCCACCCTATGTTGCTCCGTTCCCGCTCGTCTCGTCCTCCTCTCCTCCCGTCCCCTCCTCCCTCGTCCCTTGCTGTTGCACCTCCTCCGTTCTCTGACTACCTCCGTGCTGCTCGTCCCCTTGTCCCTCGGGTCCTTGCCTCTCTTGTTACCGACCCTGCTGTTCCTGTCTCGCGCCTTGACGCGCTTGTCGCTGACTTCGCCTCTACCCGCCGCCTTGACTACGCTACCGCTCTGGTCTCTGACCCTACCCGTCCTCCGTCCGTCGGGGGTGCTCCTGCCCTTGGCAATGACGTCCTAGAGGACAGGCAGTACGAGCTGGCTTTCCTGTCCGAGGCTGCTCCCCATCTCTGCTCCATGCTTTTGGTCCCTGAGGGTGACCCAGACGCCTTCGACATCCCGACCCCTCGCACCTACGCTGAGGCCACCTCGGGACCTTGGGCCTCTCAGTGGATAGCTGCCATGGAGCAGGAGATGGCATCTTGGAGGTCCACCGGCACTTACGTCGACGCAGTTCCCCCGCCTGGGGTGAACGTAGTCGATGGTCGGTGGCACTTCAAGGTGAAGCGCCCCCCTGGAGAGCCGCCTGTCTTTAAGGCGCGCTACGTGGCCAGAGGTTTCATTTCGCGCGAGGGGGTTGACTTCTTCCAGACCTTCGCCCCGACCCCGAAGATGACCACTCTTCGGGCGCTGCTACACGTAGCAGCACAGCGTGACTACGAGCTTCACTCCCTCGACTTCTCTACTGCCTTTCTTCAGGGAAGCCTACACGAGCAGGTCCACCTGCGTCGACCACAGGGCTTCACTGGTACCTTCCCTCCTGGGACCCAGTGGCTTCTCAGGCGCCCGGTCTACGGCCTGCGTCAGGCTCCCCGCGAGTGGCACGAAACGCTACGTGCCACGTTAGCAGACCTGCAGTTCTTTCCGTCCTCTGCTGACCCTTCACTCTTTGTGTGTTCCGGCCAGACTCTGTTCTACATCCTTGTCTATGTAGACGACCTGGTCTTCGCTACTCCTGACAGGGACGCACTTGCCTCTGTGAAGACTGAGCTACTGAAGAGACACACCTGCACTGATCTTGGAGAGCTGCGTCGCTATCTTGGCCTGCAGATCTCCAGGGACAGAGCAGCACGCACCATCACTCTGACCCAGTCACACTTGGTGCGTCAGGTCCTTCAGAGGTTCGGTCTTCAGTTCTCCTCTGCACAGCCCACACCTCTACCTGTAGACCACGGGCTTTCCGCTCCTGTTCCTGAGGAGTCAGTAGAGCCCAGCGGCCCCTACGCAGAGCTGGTGGGTTGCCTCATGTACCCGATGACCTGCACTCGCCCAGATCTCGCATACCCTCTCAGCATCCTGGCTCGCTTTGTGGCCATTGGCAGACACCGACCACAGCAGTGGTCGGCAGCCAAGAGGGTTTTGCGATATCTAGCAAGTACATCAGGCATGGGGTTAGTGTTGGGAGGACGCAGGCCAGTGGTCCTTACTGGGCACACAGACGCTTCTTGGGCAGATGACTCTGAGACGCTCAGGTCGTCACAGGGCTACTGTTTTAGCCTTGGTTCGGGTGCTATCTCTTGGAGATCCACTCGCTCGTCGTCTGTTGCTCAGTCGAGCTGTGAGGCTGAGATCTACGCTGGTGCCATGGCGGCACAGGAGCTCCGCTGGCTGACTTTCTTGCTCACAGACTTAGGTGAGCGGCCTAGCTCTGCCTCGGTCCTGTATGCTGACAACAGTGCCATGATACTCCTGTGTCAGGAGCCTCGACTTGAGGGCAGAGCGAAGCACATTCAGCTGCGGTACTTCCTCCTGCGCGAGCTACAGCAGCGTCGCCAGGCCCGCGTAGTTCACTTGGCCTCTGGTGCCAACACAGCTGATATCTTTACGAAGGCGCTTGCGCCTAAAGATCATCAGCGGCACTGTGTACAGCTCGGTCTAGTTCCTGTAGCCTCTCACTTGCTAGGACCTTGACTTTGTACTGTCCTATATATATCTGTATATATGTACTCAGACTGGACTTGTGTCCTTTCCCAGTGCGCGAAACTTGCGTTTCGAGGGCGCGTTCCATTCTTTATATATTGCCCACGCTGCATGGAGTAATACGATACTACAAGTTCGATATTCAATTTGTTTCACAAGTTGTCATCTCGACAACCGACGAAACGGTAGAAAATCGACGTCAATGGTAAATTAGAACGAGCCCCCGATGAAGTAATTCGCGTCGCTGAACATGAAGCGCGATTTGACGGGAAAAAATCTTAACCAAACTGTGGCGCGGGTGGCAATGCAATTTCGACGCCACTGGAGGGGTACAGTATTTCCCGTCAGCGAATGTCGCGCGTGACGAGCTTCGCCAATGGGTGCAAAAAACAAAACCTGGCAGGTGACAAATTTCGCCACTGCGAAGGCAAAACAAATCGAGAAGAGATGCGACCAGTAGCGAGAGTGACGAAACCGAAAACAAAAACGGAAACGAAATTAAAATGAAAGCGATAACGAGAATGAAGGAAGAACTGTAGTGTAACGAAAAAAAAAACAATACAGCTGGGGACGGAAATAGATTAGAAAAGTATCATAAGAATCCAAAAGGAGGGTAGAAAAACCAGCACTTCGTAGTGGGCGAACTCAACTACCTATTTATGAGTATATATATATGAAATCTCAAAAAATACTTGTACATTTTCAAATGATATAATCTAAAGTATTAACATTATTTGATTAAATTAATTAAACGATCATTTCTAAGTATTATATTATAAAAAAGAAGTAATTTACAGCCAAAATTACCATGATAAGATCAATTATTTGAACGGAAATAATTTATCATGACACTATAGAGTTCCGCAACCCTAAGACGATTTTGTCGTTTTTTTTTTTTCAAGTTTGTGAAATAAAAATCAAATGTTTGTTGTAATGGAAATAAAACTTTTTATGTATAATAAAGTCTCATCATGAAATGCTCCACAACCCTAAGACGATCTCGTCGCCTCTTGTTTGTGCTCCACCATGACCTTCTTCGTGATAAAATCGCACATTGGAGGATGATGTCTTGGTGGTTATCAGGTAAATCCCCTATTCAGACTATGAGCGTAACATAAGTCATTGTACACCTCTTCGCGACACCGCATTTTTCTCACTGCAGATTAAAGCCTTTTATTTGCGGTCTGGTATGCGGTCAGTCATGTTATCGTATGGGTGAATGGCTTGTTCCGCCCAGGATGGAGGGAATGGGCAGGATTCGCTAGGTCGAGTTCTCGCAGGTTGCGATGGATGGCACTGCATTGATCGGAAGCATCCAAACCCATCACCGGCCCCGTTATGAATGGGCGTTTTGTTGTGTGAAATGTTCTGGTTTCGGGCACAAAACTCGTTTCCGGGTGTATAAAAATCCATGCCGAACGTTGCCCTCTGCTCTTCTGTTTCCCCTTCTGCTTTGTTTCAGGCAGCAATCGAGGCTGAAGTGGCACCCTGAGATTCGTAGTTAAATTATATTGCATGAGTGGAATCATGTGTTTCGGTTGCTGCCCAGCTACAGTACGAGGACACCGTCCTTATGCCGAGACCGCACCAGTTTCAAAATCTCTGTTGTTAGCCGTTGCCTTCCCACTCGTCCTTGCCCTTGCCGACCAGGGGTGGTTTTTCGTTTTTCAAACCCAGAAGGCTCAGGATTCGCGTCACTGAAGACCCTGAAAAATCAGCATTCCCTGGGAAATCTCTCTTTATTTCAGGATCACTTCGAACTTTCAATCTGAAATTAAGAGCGTTTTTCGGAACGCCCTACATATCAGTAGAACCTTTGGGCAGTTCGAGAAAGCAGGAAGGACAAAGATGGAAGAAACGATGGAAGAGAATGCAAAACACCTGCTTCCTGCTGCTGCTGTCCCTCACCAACACACCAAGTTCCACACTTTGATTGTCCATCGCGACAGAAATGCATAGAACTTAGTGAGAGTGACAGTGCCCAACCTGGCTTAGATGGTAAGGGGGTATGATTAGTCTGATCGCCCTGCGCTTGTGCGGCTGTGGATGTTCCACAGGTCGCACCTTCAGATTGCGTGGAAATTGGTCCGGGGTGAGGTTGCAATTCCGGCACGGGTTTTTTCCATACCAGTCGGATAGCCAGGACAAATTTTTGCGCAATCCGGATTGCTCAGGGATTTCCTTGGAGACGTCCAGAATCAGTCAGGAGGTTGGGGAGGCCGAAATCCTCAAAATCAGGATTTCAGCGGGAAAGACCCGGAATGTACCTGACATTCCGGATGTTTACCCTTGAGCCGAGAGCCCTGTTGCAGACTCACCACCGCCATTTTGTGCAGGCGGTCGGGCAGCCGAGCCAAATCAGGTCACCTTGAGCACATGGTCTTCCCCACTCCAGCAGGCCAGCTGTGGTTTCGTTCAGAAGGTAGAGTACAGCAAGGGCCACATTCTCCCCCCACCCCCTCGAACTTCCGCTCCGCTCCGCCCCACGCTCACTTCTGCGCGAATTGTCGCCCACTGCACCTTTGACCCAACGTGGGCGGCTGCTGAGAGCTGCAAACAAGGACTCCCGTCCCGTGCCCCTGCCTGCTTCACATGTGCAATCCATCCATACAGAATTGCATTGCAACTTCTACAGCAGCCACAAAATCAAGCTCGCTCTCGAACGGCTTCCACATCCAAGAGCCAGGGTTTCAGCAGCAACTGCATCCCGCGTCTACTACTTCTCAAGTAGCCGCATCAACCAGCACCAATCAAGAACTGCGGCCTTTTGGCAATGAGTCACCAAGGAACGAATGATGGTACTGCTAACAGCTGTGATAGGTCATCAGGAAAATCGGAGAATACAGTAGCAAAGCAGGAAAGTGTCAATAATAGTAGTCGTAGTAGTAACATAGGTAGTAGTGCTCAGCCGGATCGTTATCAGCAGATGGGGGGGCTTTTCCTCCTTCCTAAGAACCTGTCCCTGCAGCATTTCCTGCCAGCGCATGCGGGAAATCGTCCATGGAATGAACGGAGCGGAAACAGTACTGACCTCGCGGCAGCGTCGACTGCGGAGAGAGAAACTTCGCAGGCACAGAATGCAGTTTTCGGAAATGCGGCGGCAGTGCAAAGTTTTCCCGTGCCGCCTTCTTCGGGGCAGCAACAACGAGCGTTCAGTGATCCGGGATCCAAGATCTGTGGAGGCAGAGAACATTCCTGGTAATGATCTCTATGGGTCATCATCTGCAGAAGTAGGGAGAGGTGAAAACGCCTAACCAAGCCTCCAGCCCGCCTGATCACCGCAGCCCGATTTCCCCCACTCCCCGCCCCCCTCCCCCCTCGTCCATCCCCAATATATTTGTTTGTTGCTGCCTTTGGCTGCCTTTTGGCCTCCCCTTTCGTTCTCTCGTCCCACCACCGCGTCTCACTTAGCCCCAGCTCCCCTGCTCTTTCCTCAGCCGGTTTGTATCCGGTATTCAGCTCCCCTTTGAATCAGTACCCCTGCCTGTGGCTTATAGCTTTCAAGTCTACCTTCCAGTGTCAAACGTGGCAGTTTTTTTCACCTGATGGGTGACCGTCTTGTGCTACACAGCACGTGCTAGAGACTAAGTTACGGCCTATGCTACAACCTGTGCTACGAATCCTGCCCTAAAAAGCATGTGCTACAAAGCGTGCCCTACCAAGCCTGTCCTATCAACCCTGTCCTACCAAGCCTGTCCTATCAAGCCTGTCCTACCAAGCCTGTGCTATCAAGCCTGTCCTATCAAGCCTGCCCTTCCAAGCCTGCCCTCAAGCCTGTCATATCAAGCCTGTTACCAAACCTGTCTTATCGAGCCTGTCCTTCCAAGCCTGTCCTACCAAGCCTGCCCTACTAGGCCTGTCCTACCAAGCCTGTCCTATCAAGCCTCTCCTTCCAAGCCTGTCCTACCAAGCCTGCCCTATCAAGCCTGTCCTATCAGGCCTCTCCTTCCAAGCCTGTCCTACCAAACCTGTCTTATCAAGCCTGTCCTACCAAGCCTGCCATCAAGCCTGTCCTATCAGGCCAGTCCTTCCAAGCCTGTCCTACCAAGCCCGTCCCACCAAGCCTGTCCTACCAAGCCTGTCCTACCAAGTTTCCTATCAAGCCTGTTCTACCAAACCTGTCCTATCAAGCCTGTCCTACCAAGCCTGTCCTACCAAGCCTGTCCAACCAAGTCTGTCCTACCAAGCCTGCCCTATCAAGCCTGTCCTATCAGGCCTGTCCTTTCAAGCCTGTACTATCAAGCCTGTCCTATCAAGCCTGTCCTATCAAGCCTGTCCTACCAAGCCTATCCTACCAATCCTGTCCTATCAAGCCTGTCCTACCAAGCCTGTCCTACCAAGCCTGTCCTACCAAGCCTGCCCTATCAAGCCTGTCCTATCAGGCCTATCCTTCCAAGCCTGTCCTACCAAGCCTGTCCTATCAAGCCTGTCCTACCAAACCTGTCCTATCAAGCCTGTCCTACCAAGCATGTCCTACCAAACCTGTCCTACCACGCCTGTCCTACCAAGCCTGTCCTACCAAGCCTGCCCTATCAAGCCTGTCCTATCAGGCATATCCTTTCAAGCCTGTCCTGCCAAGCCTGTCCTATCAAGCCTGTCCTACCAAGCCTGTCCAACCAAGCCTGTCCTACCAAGCCTGCCCTATCAAGCCTGTCCTATCAGGCCTGTCCTTTCAAGCCTGTACTATCAAGCCTGTCCTATCAAGCCTGTCCTATCAAGCCTGTCCTACCGAGCCTGTCCTACCAATCCTGTCCTATCAAGCCTGTCCTACCAAGCCTGTCCGACCAAGCCTGTCCTACCAAGCCTGCCCTATCAAGCCTGTCCTATCAGGCCTATCCTTCCAAGCCTGTCCTACCAAGCCTGTCCTATCAAGCCTGTCCTATCAAGCCTGTCCTACCAAGCCTGTCCTACCAAACCTGTCCTACCAAGCCTGTCCTACCAAGCCTGTCCTACCAAGCCTGCCCTATCAAGCCTGTCCTATCAGGCCTATCCTTTCAAGCCTGTCCTACCAAGCCTGTCCTATCAAGCCTGTCCTACTAATCCTGTCGTATCAAGCCTGTCCTATCAAGCCTGGCCTACCAAGCCTGTCCAACCAAGCCTGGCCTACCAAGCCTGTCCTACCAAACCTGTCCTATCAAGCCTGCCCTACCAAGCCTGTCCTACCAATCCTGTCCTATCTAGCCTGTCCTACCAAGCCTGTCCTACCAATCCTGTCCTATCTAGCCTGTCCTACCAAGCCTGTCCTACCAAGCCTGTCCTACCAAGCCTGTCCAACCAAGCCTGTCCTACCAAGCCTGTCCAACCAAGTCTGTCCTACCAACCCTGCCCTATCAAGCCTGTCCTTTCAGGCCTGTCCTTTCAAGCCTGTACTATCAAGCCTGTCCTATCAAGCCTGTCCTATCAAGTCTGTCCTACCAAGCCTATCCTACCAATCCTGTCCTATCAAGCCTGTCCTACCAAGCCTGTCCTACCAAGCCTGTCCTACCAAGCCTGCCCTATCAAGCCTGTCCTATCAGGCCTGTCCTTCCAAGCCTGTCCTACCAAGCCTGTCCTATCAAGCCTGTCCTATCAAGCCTGTCCTATCAAGCCTGTCCTACCAAGCATGTCCTACCAAACCTGTCCTACCAAGCCTGTCCTACCAAGCCTGTCCTACCAAGCCTGCCCTATCAAGCCTGTCCTATCAGGCATATCCTTTCAAGCCTGTCCTGCCAAGCCTGTCCGATCAAGCCTGTCCTACCAAGCCTGTCCAACCAAGCCTGTCCTACCAAGCCTGCCCTATCAAGCCTGTCCTATCAGGCCTGTCCTTTCAAGCCTGTACTATCAAGCCTGTCCTATCAAGCCTGTCCTATCAAGCCTGTCCTACCAAGCCTGTCCTACCAATCCTGTCCTATCAAGCCTGTCCTACCAAGCCTGTCCGACCAAACCTGTCCTACCAAGCCTGCCCTATCAAGCCTGTCCTATCAGGCCTATCCTTCCAAGCCTGTCCTACCAAGCCTGTCCTATCAAGCCTGTCCTATCAAGCCTGTCCTACCAAGCCTGTCCTATCAAGCCTGTCCTACTAATCCTGTCGTATCAAGCCTGTCCTATCAAGCCTGGCCTACCAAGCCTGTCCAACCAAGCCTGGCCTACCAAGCCTGTCCTACCAAACCTGTCCTATCAAGCCTGCCCTACCAAGCCTGTCCTACCAATCCTGTCCTATCTAGCCTGTCCTACCAAGCCTGTCCTACCAATCCTGTCCTATCTAGCCTGTCTTACCAAGCCTGTCCTACCAAGCCTGTCCTACCAAGCCTGTCCAACCAAGCCTGTCCTACCAAGCCTGTCCAACCAAGCCTGTCCTACCAAGCCTGGCCTATCAAGCCTGTCCTTTCAGGCCTGTCCTTTCAAGCCTGTACTATCAAGCCTGTCCTATCAAGCCTGTCCTATCAAGCCTGTCCTACCAAGCCTATCCTACCAATCCTGTCCTATCAAGCCTGTCCTACCAAGCCTGTCCTACCAAGCCTGCCCTATCAAGCCTGTCCTATCAGGCCTATCCTTCCAAGCCTGTCCTACCAAGCCTGTCCTATCAAGCCTGTCCTATCAAGCCTGTCCTATCAAGCCTGTCCTACCAAGCATGTCCTACCAAACCTGTCCTACCAAGCCTGTCCTACCAAGCCTGTCCTACCAAGCCTGCCCTATCAAGCCTGTCCTATCAGGCATATCCTTTCAAGCCTGTTCGCCAAGCCTGTCCTATCAAGCCTGTCCTACCAAGCCTGTCCAACCAAGCCTGTCCTACCAAGCCTGCCCTATCAAGCCTGTCCTATCAGGCCTGTCCTTTCAAGCCTGTACTGTCAAGCCTGTCCTATCAAGCCTGTCCTATCAAGCCTGTCCTACCAAGCCTGTCCTACCAATCCTGTCCTATCAAGCCTGTCCTACCAAGCCTGTCCGACCAAGCCTGTCCTACCAAGCCTGCCCTATCAAGCCTGTCCTATCAGGCCTATCCTTCCAAGCCTGTCCTACCAAGCCTGTCCTATCAAGCCTGTCCTATCAAGCCTGTCCTACCAAGTCTGTCCTACCAAACCTGTCCTACCAAGCCTGTCCTACCAAGCCTGTCCTACCAAGCCTGCCCTATCAAGCCTGTCCTATCAGGCCTATCCTTTCAAGCCTGTCCTACCAAGCCTGTCCTATCAAGCCTGTCCTACTAATCCTGTCGTATCAAGCCTGTCCTATCAAGCCTGGCCTACCAAGCCTGTCCAACCAAGCCTGGCCTACCAAGCCTGTCCTACCAAACCTGTCCTATCAAGCCTGCCCTACCAAGCCTGTCCTACCAATCCTGTCCTATCTAGCCTGTCCTACCAAGCCTGTCCTACCAATCCTGTCCTATCTAGCCTGTCCTACCAAGCCTGTCCTACCAATCCTGTCCTACCAAGCCTGTCCTACCAAGCCTGCCCTATCAAGCCTGTCCTATCAAGCCTGTCCTATCAAGCCTGGCCTACCAAGCCTGTCCAACCAAGCCTGGCCTACCAAGCCTGTCCTACCAAGCCTGTCCTACCAAGCCTGTCCTACCAAGCCTGCCCTTTCAAGCCTGTCCTATCAGGCCTGTCCTTCCAAGCCTGTCCTACCAACCCTGTCCTTCCAAGCCTGTCCTACCAAGCCTGCCCTATCAAGCCTGTCCTATCAGGCCTGTCCTTCCAAGCCTGTCCTACCAAGCCTGTCCTACCAAGCCCGTCCTATCAAGCCTGTCCTATCAAGCCTGTCCTAGCAAGCCTGTCCTACCAAGGCTGTCCTACCAAGTTTCCTATCAAGCCTGTCCTACCAAGTTTCCTATCGAGCCTGTCCTTCCAAGCCAGTCCCATCGAGCCTGCGTTGGAAAGCATGTCCTACCAAGCCAGTCCCACCGAGCCTGCGTTGGAAAGCCTGTCCTACCAAGCCTGTGCTGGAAAGCCCGTGTGCAGCACGCACACGAGCGAGCGACCCTTCTGTGATGGCTCTTTCACTTGCCGTGGCAGTGAGTCGATTTTTGAGTCGACTCAAAAATCGACCCTTCTGTGATGGCCCTTTCCCTTGCCGTGGCAGCTCTATACGCTCTCTGCTGCTTCCACGTTTCTCAATCCGACTGAGTCATAAGAAAAGCACGTGCTACGCAACAGCACATGTCCTGTCGTGCACGCATACTCGTTGAGCATTCTTTGGTACACGTGGTGCCACTTGAGTGCACACAATGGTTTTTTCCTTTCAGGTACACGCGGATTTTTCGTCTCCTGTTGCTCTGATTCCTTGTTGCCTTTCTACCTCTCTAGCTTTCGTTTCCCATTCACTGTACCTGATTATGTGCCATACTGCCTTAGTAATGCTTCCATCCTGTCACAATTGCCGCCTGCCAGCCCCTGTCGCAAGAGTCGGTTTTTGAAGCGCCTCAATAATAGCTCATACCTTGTCTGCCCATATCTTGCCTGTCCCGTCTTGCCTTGTCTCCTTCCCTCCTCCCTCCCTTTCCCGCCCCTCCTTCCCCCCTCCCTCCCTCTCCCACCCCTTCCTTCCCCCTCCTTCCCCCCTCCTTCCCCCCTCCTTCCCCCCCTTCCCCCCTCCTTCCCCCTCCTTCCCCCTCCTTCCCCCTCCTTCCCCCCTCCCTCCCAACCCTCCTTCCTTCGTGATACAGAATCTCAGCTCCAGCACACACTGCACCCATTCACCCTAGGTGACATTTGAGTCAACTCAAAAGTCCACCCCATCCCCTCCTTCCCTCCCTGATTTAGGATCTCAGCTCCAGCACACACTGCATCCATTCACCCTAACACGGTGACCCTCGAGTCGACTCAAAAGTCCCACCACCCCACCCCCTCCTTCCCTCCCTCCCTGATAGGGTGAATGGGTGCAGTGTGTGGTGCAAGCACACACTGCACCCATTCACCCTCACCAGCGCCACCACGCATCGTCCCGTGGATTCGAGCCTCGAATGCCTTCCCTTCCTCTCCTACACCCTCCTTCCCCCCCTGAATCCCTGATGCTGGATCTCAGCGCCAGCACACACTGCACCCATTCACCCTCACGAGCCCCACGCATCATCCCGTGCCACGAGCGCCCACATGCTACTTGATTTTTGGCGCCCAAAGAATCCTTAATCGCTCCCTCCCTCTCCCTCTCCCTCCCTCCCTCCAACCCTCCCTCCCTCCCTCCCTCCCTCCCTCCCTCCCTCCCTCCCTCCCTCCCTCCCTCCCTCCCTCCCTCCCTCCCTCCCTCCCTCCCTCCCTCCCTCCCTCCCTCCCTCCCTCCCTCCCTCCCTCCCTCCCTCCCGCCGTCCCTCCCTCCCTCCCTTTCTCCCCCCCGCCGTCCCTCCCTCCCTCCCTTTCTCCCTCCCGCCGTCCGTCCGTCCGTCCGTCCCTCCCGCCCTCCCTCTGTGGTGCAGGATCCCAGCTCAATACAATGCCCCCATTCACCCTAACAAGCATCATGCATCGTCCCGCAAAGGCATCCGCACCCACTTTAACACAGGATCCTCAGAAGCCCTCCCTTCCTCTCTCTCTCCCTCCCTCCCTCCCTCCCTCCCTGATGCAGGATCTCCGCTCCACAAAACGCCCCCATTCGCCCTAGCGAGCATCTTGCATCATCCCGAAACAAGCACCTAGGCGTCTATGGACTATAAAGCCCCTCCCTCCCCCCCTCCCTCCTCTCTCCCTCCCTCCCTCCATGGTGCAGGATCCCAGCTCGACAAAACGCCCCCATTCGCCCTAGCGAGCAGCATGCATCATTCGACGACAGAAGCACCACCCAGCCTCACCCCCTCTCTGCTCCCACGCACGGGCACGGCAACTCGGGAGAGCTAGAGGAATCGGGAGCGAAGCGGGAAAATCAGGAGCAAGCGGAGGGACAGGAGGAGGGGCGAGAGAAGGGGCAAGGGGAGGGGCAAGGGGAGGGGTACTTTCATGGGCACAACGAGGAGCAGCCATCTTTCAAGTGTAAAGAAGAGCCTATAGCGGAGCCACCATCCACCGAGGGAGCAGGGGCCTTGGGATCGCCAGCTGTGCCGTCAGAGCGAGTAGGAGAAAGGGATGGGTGTGGAGGCAGGGGGAGGGGCCGAGGGGGTTTTGAGGCGGCTTATAACGAGGGAGCAGGGGGCTTGTGGTGGGCAGCTGTGCCGTCAGAACGAGTAGGAGAAGGAAGAGGCGGGAGAGGAGGCAGGGGGAGGGAACGAGGGGGGGCAATGGAGCTGGAGGTAGCACGGAGGGTGAGTGGGGAAGAGGGTGGGACGCCCATGGAGGTTCAGTCGCATGCTGGTGGGTGTGATGCACCGGTGCAGGAGGGAGGGGGAGGGGAGGTGGGGGACGGGTTGACGCGTGACTTCACCGCTGCTAAGAGGAGAAGGAAGATGGAGAAACGGCCTGGCGAGAAGGGGAGGATAAGGGAGGAACAAGGCTATCAGCGGGAGCAGGTGGTCCAGGAGAAAGTTCAGGAGAAAGTTCAGGTGCCAGTGGAGGAGTTGCACAGGCCTGGCAAATCGACGGGCAGTGGAAGGGCTTTCCAAGAGGAGACAACGGAGCAGGATACGGAGCTGGCGCAGAAACGGGCGTGCGTTGGAGGGAAGGGGGCACAGGAGGGAGAAAAGGAGAGAGAAGAGAAGGTGGCAAAGGAGGGGGAAGAGAAGGGAGGGAAAGAGAGGAGCGAGGATGAAGCAGAGGAGAGCAGGCGAGAAGGACAAGGGGAGGAGAGAGAGGGGAGTGAAGGGGACCGGTACCACTGGCTCAAGTACGGACAGAAGGTGCTGATGGAGAGAGTTTATGCACGGTGAGTGAGGGAGTGAGTGAGACAACACATGGTGAGTGAGGGAGTGAGTGAGTGAGTGAGACAACACATGGTGAGTGAGGGAGTGGGGGAAGCGAGTGAGTGAGGGATTGAGGGAGGGAGGGATGGAGTGAAGACTCCACACGGTGAGTGAGGGAGGGAGTGAGTGTGAGTGCGACTACATATGGTAATTGAATGAGTGAGTGAGTGGGGGAAGGAGTGAGACTACAAACAGTAAGTGAGGGAGTGAGTGAGGGATTGAGTGAGAATACACATGAGAGAAAGTGAAAGTGAGTGAGTGAGGCTACATGCGGCGAGTGAGGGAATGAGTGAGTGAGGGAGAAAGTGAGAGTACACAAGGTGAGTGAGGGAGTGAGGGAGTGAGGGACTTTTGGAGGGAGAGAGGGAGACTACGCACGGTGAATGAGAGAGTGAGTGAGTGATTCTACAAACGGTGAGTGGGTGAGTGAGTGAGGGAGTGAGTGAGTGAGTGAGACTCCACACGGTGAGTGAGGGAGTGAGTGAGTGAGTGAGGGAGGGAGTGAGACTACACATGGAGAGTGAAAGAGGGAGTGAGTGATTGAGACTCCACACAGTGAGGGAGTGATTGAGTGAGGGAGGGACTGAGTGAGACTACGCACGGAGAGGGTGAGTGGGTGAATGAGACGATGCATGGTGAGTGAGGGAGTGAAGGTGTGGGTGAGATTACACTCGGTGAGTGAGTGAATGAGTGAGAATGCACACTCCTCCCCCCACCTAGTCACTACCTCCCTAGACCCTACCTTGCTGAGTGCATCGCTATGCTCGATCAAGGCCCAACTTGGGCTTTGTTGAAGCCAACCCTGGATACCCATTCCTTTCCCATCCAAACCCCCTCTCCAAATCTGCCTCTCACGACCCATTCTCACCTCTCCAGAGCCTATTACCGTTGTGCCTAGCAAACATCAGGATGCCAGGCCAACCAAGCACCCATGGACATACCTTCCTTCCCCTCCTCCATCCCCCCTCCCCTCCTCACCTCGTCCCAAACAACCCCCCATCCCTCCAGAGCCCATTTTCGCTGCGCGCAGCACACAGCAGGGTGCCAGGCCAAGAAGCCATGGTCATCCGCCTCTTCCCCTCCTGCACCCCCCTCACCCCCCCTCACCCCCCTCTCCTCTCCACCTCATGCCCTATCTCACTCCTCTCGCCTCCAGTTCATGTTTCGCTGTACCCAGCATGCAATGGCAAGTCAGACCAAGAAAGGCCATGGAGATACCCATGCCCCCCCCCCCTCTCCTCCTCCCCCACCACCCCCTCCCCACCTCCTCCCTCCCCCCTCCCCCTCCCCCAGTGTAAGCCGGGGCCGCTGCCCCATGTGGTGTTTCTAGAAAAAGCACTCACACCCGCCTCCCGACCACCCCTACGGTGCAACACTCTCCCCTGCCTTCATTTTCTATTTTCCTTCACAACTATCTCTCCCCTCCAGGGCCTATTTCCGCTGCGCGCAGCACGCGGCGGGGTGCCAGGCCAAGAAGACCATGGACATACCCTTGCAGAAGCCCCCTCCCAGCTCGCCGCAGCCGCAGCCCCAGGTGGCGTTTCTCGGGCAGCACTCGCACCCTCCTCCCGACAACCCCCGCCGCACAACCCTCTCCCTGGCTGCTCGGTTTGCTGCAGAGTTAAAGGAAGAGATGCGATCTGAAGCTGCTGCTGCTGCTGCTGCTGCGGGTGCGGGTGCTGCTGGTGCGGCTGCTGCCGCTGCTGCTGCTGCGGGTTCAGGTTCTGCTGGTGCGGCTGCTGCTGCTGCTGCTGCTGCTGCTGGTGCTGCTGCTGCTGCGGGTGCGGCACCAGGAACAGCAGCAGCTACCGGTGCAGCTTCTGCTGCAGCCTCTGCAGCTGATGCTACTGCCACTCCGGGTGCTACTGCCGCTAATGCTGCCACTGTTACTGCTGCTGCGAATGATGCTGCAGCAGCTGCACCAGCAGCAACTGCACCAGCAGCAACTGCACCAGCAGCACCTGCACCAGCAGCAACTGTGGCATCTTCTGGCCCTGCTCCCACTCATGGCAACAAAGATCCCATGGGCGCTCTTGCAAGAGCTCGTGCTCTTGCCAAGAGCAGCTTTGGCACTTCCAGTGCTGCAGCTGGCATGCCACAAGTTGGAGGTGCCAGGGGGCCCAGCACCGGCAGCAGTTCCTTTGTGCCGGCTAAAACTGGTGCCAGCCTACCACCAGCACTTCACAGCGCTGGTGGCAGGGGGCCCGACAGTTCTCTGGAGTTTGGGCTTGGAAGGAAAGTGGCCACAGCAGGGGGGAGCAGCCGGATGCATCAGTCATCATTCCCCCTGGTGCAGTCTGGTGCCAGTAACGCTGCCTGCACCAACAGCAGCAGCAGCAGCAGCAGCAGGGGCAGCAGCACCACCACCACTACCACCACCACCACCACGAGCACCAGGAAATCATTTGTGCTGGCTGCTAGTGGTGCCAGCCTGTCACACTCGCATGACAGCAATTATCCGCTGCAGGGTGGCATTGCGGCAACCAGTGACATGCTACTGGCGTTGGCAAGCAGCTTCGTGGGAAGCACACCAGTAGCAGGAGCAGCAGGAGCAGCAGCAGCAGCAGGAGCAGGAGGAGAGGGAGGGGCGGGAAGAGCAGGAGCAGGAGGAGCACGAGGAGCGGCAGCAGCAGCAGCAGCAGCAGCAGGAGGAGGAGGAGGAGGAGGAGGAGGAGGAGGAGGAGGGGCAGCAGCAGGAGCAGAATCAGGAATATCCACGCCTTTGCCGCGCGCTGTGCCAGGCTGGGATGTAGGCAGGCTGGCAGCAGCAGCTGCTGCAGCACCCGCACAGAACTTGTTTGTGGGGGCTCTACCGAATGTGGCTCAGCAATGGCTGCTGTGGCTGCAGCAGCAGCAGCAGCAACAGCAGCAGCAACAGCAGCAGCATCAGCTACACGCTGCTGCCATCCTTGCTGCTGCCCTTGCTGCGGCTGCCAATACCCCCTCTGCTGCGGCTGCTGCTGCTGCTTCTGCTGCCGCTTCTGCTGCCGCTTCTGCTGCTGCTTCCTCCGCTTTCGCTGCCACTGTTAATGCTCCACTGCCAAACAGATTCACTGCCGCATCGACCACCTCATGCACTGGTATGCCACCCACACACCCACTCATAACTGCACGTGAGGACTGTACAGGTGCTGCGGCCTCATATCACAGCACCCGGAGGGTGATGAAGGGGGAAGCAGGGGAACCAGGGGAATTATGTTGTGAAGGAGGAGGAGAGGCGCCCCAGGGACCAGAACAGGTAAGATACTTTCCGACAGCTCACTCGACTCCCAGTGCTGCTGGTGCTGTGGCCAAACTTATCTCTCTCGCTGCTGCAGTGACTGCTGGGCATCCTGCTGCACGGGCAGCACCAGCCCACCTGGCTGCTGGGCAGCAGCAGCAGCAGCAGCAGCAGCAGCAGCAGCAGCAGCAGCAGCAGGTGGCACCATTACCTGCAACATACGCACCCAGGGAGGGTTCTTCTCTACCGGTCCGGTCCTCTCCGAACCTGTCCTCTCCGAACCTGTTCTCTCCGAACCTGTCCTCTCCAAACCTGTCCTCTCCGGTCTTGTCCTCTCTACCCAGGGCAATGCAGGATGAAGCCATTCCTGCATCTCTTGTGCTTGCACAATCATCCAAAGCTCCAGCATCAGCTACAGCTGGAGCGTCGGTTAGAGCTGCACTATCAGTCACAGCTGCACCGTCAGTTAAGGCTACACCATCAGTTGCATCAACACACTCAGTTACAGCATCGAGCCTTGCTGACACCGTCATCCTTGCTGCATTCTCTGCTGCAGCTGCTTTCCCTGCACCGACCACATACGCCGGAGCTGCGGCTGCTGCTTCATCTATGCCACACAAGCAGCTAGCACCAGCTCAGCTTCCGCTGGCTCAGCCGCCACTGCCAGTTCAGCAACCTGCAACTAGCCAATTTCGCCTGGCATGTACCGGTACTTGCTGGTCGGATAGTGTGCCTGTGAGTGGTAGAGGAGGGGAGGGAAGAAGTTTGCCGGTGAGCACTCTGCATCCTTTGCAGTACCTGCCTGATGCAAAGCCGGTTCAAGCATCAGGCAGTCATCACACGGTTACGCCACAGACGGATTGGTCTGGAGATAGTAGAGGCGGGGAGGGAAGGAGCGCTTACCATTGTAACGAAAGGACAGCTGTGGACAAGGCCCAGAGCTCTGAGAATGATGGCAATGCCAGTGCTGCAGTGAAGATGGATCTTGATCTAAATGTGTAACATAAATGCATGACTTATGTACACTTCTATAGGAGTAAACATTTTACCATGGACAGGCCTGAATTAAACAAATCAACTCTCTGCTCACTCATCTCTGCAGCGGCTGCTGGGGCTCCTGTGGTTGCTGGGGCTGCAGGTGGTGCTGCTGGTGCTGCTGGTGCTTCTGGTGCTGCTGGTGCTGCTAGTGCTGCTGTTGTTGCTGATGCTGCTGGTGCTGCTGGTGCTGCTGGTGGTGCTTGTGCTGCTGGTGCTGCTGTTGTTGCTGGTGCTTCTGTTGTTGCTGGTGCTGCTGTTGTTGCTGGTGCTGCTGTTTTTGCTGGTGCTGCTGTGCTGCTGCTGCTGAATATCTTTCACTAGCTGCTGCAGTACCTGTGGATGTAGTATCAGCTGCTAAAACTGCTGCAGCACCTGCCAATCTGGCTGTCTCCTCTCCTATCGCTCCCTTCCTTCAACAAAACCCTTCTGACCCTGCCATTCTCTTACCTAAGCAGCAGTCCTCTAGCACACCACTCCAGCTGCGGTGCATGCCTCTCCCAGGGAGCTCCCTTCTCTTCCATTAGTGCGTTTCTGCCTGTCACTATGCAGGATGCAACCTTCCTTGCCGCTCTTCACGGACGATCAGTCACAGAAGCTTCAGCCGCAACTGCACTCTCGATTTCAGCCACACCCTCAGGTACAGATACACCCTCAGGTACAGATACACCCTCAGGTACAGATACACCCTCAGGTACAGATACACCCTCAGGTACAGATACACCCTCAGGTACAGATACACCCTCAGCTGCACCTGTACCCTCAGTTGCACCTGTACCCTCAGTTGCACCTGTACCCTCAGTTGCACCTGTACCCTCAGCTGCACCTTCACCCTCAGTCACAGTTGCAGCCTCGATCGCTCCTACACCTTCAGTTTCTGCTATGTGCATTGCAAACGCTTTAATTCCTGCTGCTGCTGCAATCCCGACAACACGAACACTCACTAATGCTGCCACGGCTACTCCTTGCATGCCCGAAGCCCTGACATTTGCGCCATACCAGCAGCCAGCATCAGCTCACCTGCCGTTCAGTCATCCATACATGCCAAATTAGCAACCTGCAACTGGCCAACTCCTCTCATCACACACTGACTGGTCAGAAAGCATGCCTTTGAGCATATTGTATCCTTAACATAGTTTGCCTGATGCTCAACCAGCCAATCCCACAGAGGGCCACCAGGTGGAAGAGTTTGGGCATAGTGAAGAAAAGGAGCTAAGCACTTACCATGATAACGAGAGGAATGAGGCTCATGATGCCACGACAGATGGTCGAGCTAATAGATTAGTTTCATATGGTTGTACCATTATTCCAGCAACTCATCTAGTTTCACGTGTTTTCTATTTCCTCTTGTGCTTTCGATTGTGTATTGCTTCCCTTGTGCTTCTCAAGATGCGGACCCACCTTTTACTTCAGTTTTAATGGTATGAATAAACATACGGATAAAAATAATTGTATGTTTTTTGCAAAGTGACTGTGAATACAATAGGCATGCATGGCTTTGGATAGCTGTAACTACCATGGATTGCATGTGAAAGTGACGTGTGGAAGAGTTTCAATTATTATATTGCTGTTTATCACCATTCGCACTATTGATGTGCTTTTGACAGAGCATGAAGTCACCTGATGGAACACTTGATTTCGCCGTTTCTGACGGTCATTGGGTTGGTGGAGGGAGGGAGGTCTATTCACACCTGAATGCAGTTCTGTAATCGCACAAAATACCTGGAAAATTTTGAATCACGAAGCCTGCACGCATTTCCGAGCTCCAGCTGAAAACTGTGCAGTCTTGGACAGCGAGCTCACATGGCCCACTGGTGACCGCTTTCCACCTGGATATAAAAAGTTGGGTGAACTTAACGGCACGTGCTGTTGCAGGTCATGCCTAGGAACCCTATGTGCAAGAGTTTGAAGAGAGTCGTTTGGATAGAAAAGGGTGGTGCAACTCTAGTGAGCTTGGTGGGGCATTGTTTTCTACTATTTTCTATTACTTTTTACGAAACGGGCCTGCTGGCCCCCATGTTCGCCAGCCGCCTTCTGCCAGCCCCTGCTCTTGCCCGCTTCGCACCCGCTGTACCGCCGTGGAGCCGGACTGCCGTGCCGCCGTGCCGTCGTGCCGCCGTGGCGCCGTGTTGCCGTGGAGCCGTGCCACCATGCCGCCATGTCGCTGTGCCGCCGTGTCGCTGTGCCGCCGTGCCGCTGTGCCGCCATGTAGCCGTGGCGCCATGCTGCCGTGGAGCCGTGTCGTCGTGCTTTCGTGGCGCCGTACTGTCGTTGCGTCGTGCTGCCGTGGAGCCGTGCCGTCGTGTAGCTGAGTTCGTGCAATGGCGGACGCTGTGCTCCACATGGATGCGGAGGGGCGGGCGATCGACTTCGATGCGTGGCTTGTCAACCTTCGCCATCACCGGACAAGTCAGCGCTAGGACGGAAACTCCCTGGCTGTTCATGTCGATGGCTTGCTTCCCCGTCCCCCCACGCTTGCTGCCCTACCTGATGCCCCCACCACTGCTGAGCTTGAGGCATTTTCCGCTGCTGCGCTTGCTCGCGCTGTCTAGGAGTCGCGCGACGCCGTAGCGCAGCTTGCCATTAGTCACGCCCTCCCTCTGTCTGAGCGTCCCCGCTTTACCGATGTAGCAAACGCTAAGGAATTCTTAGAGGTCGTAGTTGCGCGCTACTCTAAGCTCGCCTCCGCCTCCGCTGGCCGCTTGATCCTCCCCATGCCGTTCCCTGATGTTGTGGTCTTCCCCACTGTTGTTGACCTAGCCAATCACCTCCGCGCACTTGAGGCTAGCTACCGCGCCGCTAGCACTGAAGCCCAGCTCACTGCCTACCCGCCACCACTTTGTGCCACGCGCCTCCCGGATCGCCTAGCCACTGCCCATGACCACTTCCTTAGTCAGCACCCAGGTGACCTCACCCTTACCGCCTTTGTCACCGCCCTGCCCGAGATAGAGACCAGTCAGCGCACTATCGCTCAGTCTAGCGGTACTGCAGCGGTTCCTATCTTTCAGGGCTATGCTCCCTCCCAGTGCACTTACTCTGACGTCTCTGCTGCTTCACTGAGACAGCCCCTGCTGCTAAGACGGCTATTGTGGCCTCAGCACAGCCGCGTCAGGGTAGGGGCCGCCGCCCCAAAGGGGGTTGTGGCAGAGGGAAGGGTGGTGGGGGTGGTGGATGTGGGGGCTGGGATGGTGGTTCCGACGAGGGGACCGGGTCTGGTGCCCCGGAGCAGCAACAGCAGCCGCAGTAGCAGTAGTCGCAACTGCAGCAGCAGCAATCGCAGCAGCAGCAACGGTGCGGCCGCCTCCTGTCGGGGTGGCCCGGTGCCTCTGGTGGTGGTGGCCGCGGTGGCGGCCCTCGCAGCTCGGCGCTGGGTGGCAGCTTCGGCGCTGTGGGTTGCCAGTACCAGCTCCAGACCGGCCCCTTTTGCAGCACTATGTGTGGTCATCCCAGTCACACTGCCGCCTGCTGGTTCCGCCGCCTCGACGACCTGTTCCGTCTCCACTTCGGCCCTGCGCCGCACCTTCCCGACAGGCCCAGTCTGGTGCATCACCGTGTGCTTGTCTTTGAGATGGATATGGATAATATTTGCTTTGCCTTGCATGCCATGTATGCTGATGACTCTGGTGTGACTGGACCATATTAACCTGTGTTGCCTAGTGTATGTGTGCCTCTTGTGTGTATTCTAGGCTCCCCTGCTGCGTCAGGCGTAGGACCTTCTGCATTGTTTAGCCTAGGCTCCACGCTAGCCCCTCCGCCAGCTGTCGTTACCGCTTTGCTCTCTTTCACGCTTGACTCTAGTGCGTCTGCCTGCTTCTTCCGTGACCACACTGCGCTAACGCTGCTTGCCGCCCCTGTCACTGTCGTGCTTGCTAACCCCTCTTCAGGTTCAGTGATTGCCCATAGCTCCACTACCCTTCCCTGTCTGGCGGTTCCCTTGGGCTCTCTTACATGCCTGCACATTCCCTCGTTCTCTAGAAACCTAGTTGGTGTCGGCTGTCTTCAAGACCTCAGTGTCACCATTACCTTCCCTGGACACGAGCAGTACGCGATCTGTACCGATGTTGCCACAGGTGCCCTCCTAAGCACGTTCCTCCGGGACCCGGTGTCTGGCCTGTTTACGCTCGATACCGAGTCCCCCTTAGTGAGGGCGTCCCCTCAAGTGCCTGCGTCTACCCAGGTTGCTGTGGCTTGCTCATGTCCGTCGCTCATTCACCCATCGCTTTTGTGGCACCACTGCCTAGGTCACCCCACACTCCTGCGTCTGCGTCACATGTCCCAGTACAGTCTTGTCCTAGGCCTCCCTGCTTCGCTCCCTACCCTCCCTCCCTCCCCTGCGCCGCCATGCACGCCCTGCGTTGAGGGCCGGCTGCGCCATGCTCCTCACTCCTCCTCGCTTTGTCCTGCCACCGCACCACTCCAGACTCTGCACCTAGACGTCTGGGGCCCAACCCCCCGTCCCTGGGCCGCGTCGAGAGCACTACTTTGTAGTGCTTGTCGGAGACTACACGCGCTATACCATGGTGTTTCCCCTGGAGCAGAACGCCGATGTGCCTGACGTTCTCATCCCGTGGGTCATAGCTATGCGCGTCCACCGCGGCCTCCCCGTGCTGTGTCTCCACTCTGACCGTGGCGACGAGTTTGCCTCCGCTCGGCTTGGCCAGTTCTGTCGTGCGGAGGGCATCACCTAATCGTACACCCTACCAGACTCCCCACAGCAGAATGGGATTGCTGAGCGACTCGTCGGTTTGGTCATGGAGGTGGCTCGTACCTCCATGATCCATGCCGATGCACCCCATTTTCTGTGGCCATTCGATGTTCGCTACGCCGCTCACCAGCTTAACCAGTGGCAGCACTCCCAGCGGCCGTAGGTTTCGCCGACCCTTCTCTGGACCAGGTTACCTTGTGACGCGCCCGCGTTCCACGTCTGGGGCTGCCTTGCTCACGTTAGTGCCTCTAGCACGGACAAGCTCACTGCCCGCACTATCCCCCGTGACTTCCTTGGTTTCCCTCTCTACGTGTCTGACTGGCACTTTTACCACCCACCGTCTCACCGCTTCTTTCACTCGCGTGTCGTCACTTTCGATGAGTTTGTCTCCTTCTACCACCGCTTTCCCCAATGAGATCTCCTGGTTTCCCTGCCCCTGTTTCTGGTTCCCATTCCCCCGGTAGCCCCTGCTCCTCTTCCTCCCCATCCTGCTCCGTCTGGTGTGTCTCACGTCACTCCCCTCCCATCGGTTGTCCCGGTCGAGGAGCTGGCTGACTCTGGTGGGCCCGCGACACAGTTCTCGCCTCCTGTTTCTGCCCCGTTGTCTCCTCCTCCACCGTCGCAGTAGCTGCCGTCGTCGTCGCAGCTGCAGCAGCAGCCGTCGCAGCAGCAGTTGTCCGCGAACTCTGGGGGTGAGGGCATTGAGGAGGGTGCTAGTCCCCGGGTTCCTGTCGTGGCTTGTCCTGGCAGTCCTGGGGGTGGCACCGGTGCTCGAGAGGGTTCTAGTTCTGGGGGTGCTTGTTCTTGGGGTGCTAGTCCTAGGGTTATTGTCGTAGCTCGTCCCGGCGGTCGTGGGGGGGGCACCGGTATTGTAGAGGGTTCTCGCTCTGGGGGTATTCGTGTCGCGTGTCCCGGAGGTAGGCGTCGTATAGCTAGAGCTTTTGGTGTCGGCGAGGAGCAGCAACAGCAGCAGCAATAGTCGATGCCGGTGTCTGCCCTTTGCCTCCTCGGCCTTCCCTCCCCTGATCACCCGTCTATGCCTCACCCGCTGCCGCCTCCCTTGCCTGTCTACGGCCCTGTCTTTCCTCTGCCGGACTCGTCCCCGGCTCGTTTCCCCCCTCGTTCTTGTCCTTTGTCTCCTCCTGTGTCTCATGACCCGACGCCTCCGTGCCACTTCTGATCTCTACGTCTCTTTCGTGCTCGTCTTGTCTCCGCTGCTCAGCGCTCTCACCCTATGTTTCTTCGTTCCCACGCGTATCATCCTCCCCTCCTCCCCTCGCCTCCTCCCTCGTCACTTGTTGCCGCTCTGCCTCCTCTATCTGACTACCTTCGTGCCACTATTCCCCTTGTTCCTCGGATCCTTGCCTCCTTTGTTACCGACCCGTCTGTTCCTGTCTCGGGTCTTGACGCGCTTGTTGCTGCCCTCGATGAATTCGTCTCTACCTGCCACCTTGACTACGCCACCGCTCTAGTCTCTGACCCTGTCCGTCCTCTGTCCGTCGGGGGTGCTCATGCCCTTGGCAATGACGTCCTAGAGGACCGATAGTACGAGCTTGCTTTCCTGTCTGAGGCCACGCCTCATCTCTGCTCCATGCTGCTAGTGTCTGAGGGGGAGCCAGATGCCTTCGACATCCTAACCCCTCGCACCTACGGTGAGGCGACCTTGGGAATCTGGGCCTCTCAGTGAACATCTGCCATGGACACGGAAATGGCATATTGGAGATGCACTGGCACCTACGTCGACTCAGTTCTCCCACCTCGGGTGAAGGTAATCGATCGCCGGTGGCTCTTCAAGGTGAAGCACCATACTGGAGAGTCGCTGGTGTTCAAGGCACGCTTCGTTGCTAGAGGCTTCAGTCAGCGCGAGGGTGTTGACTTCTTCCAGACCTTCGTCCCGACCCCGAAAATGACTACTCTTCGGGCGCCGCTACACGTAGCAGCACAGCTTGACTACAAGCTGCACTCTCTCTACTTCTCCACAGTGTTTCTTCAAGCCAGTCTGCACGAGCAGGTCTACTTGCGTCGCCCGCCAGGCTTCATCGGCACCTTCGCCCCGGGGATCCAGTGGCTCCTCCGGCGCCTGGTTTACAACCTACGGGAGGCGCCCCGTGAGTGGCATGACACGCTGCATGCTACGTTAGCTGACTTGCAGTTCTTACTGTCCTCTGAAGACCCATTGCTCTTCATTCGTGCTAGCCATACCCCGTTCTACATCCTAATCTACGTAGACGACCTGGTCTTTGCTACTGCAGACAGAGACACACTGGCCTCCGTGAAGGCTGAGCTGCTAAGGAGACACACCTGCACTGATCTAGGAGAGCTGCGCCGCTACCTTGGCTTGTAGATGTCCAGGGACAGAGTAGTGCGCACCATCACTCTCACACAGTTACATTTGGTGCGCCAGGTCCTTCAGAGGTTCAGTCTTCACTTCTCCTCCGCATAGCCCACACCTCTGCCAGTAGATCACAAGCGAACCAGTCCCTGAGGAGTCAGTAGAGCCTAGTGGACCTTACGCAGAGCTGGTGGGTTGCCTTATGTATCTGATGACTTGCACTCGTCCAGATCTCGCATACCCTCTCAGCATCCTGGCTTGCTTTGTAGCCACAAGCAGACACCGACCACAACACTGGTCGGTCGCTAGGATGGTTTTGCGTTATCTTGCAAGTACATCAGGCATGAGGCTAGTGCTAGGAGGACGCAGACCAGTGATCCTTATAGGGCACACAGACGCTTCATGGGCGGACGACGCTGAGACGCTCAGGTCCTCCCAGGCTATTGCTTTAGCCTTGGTGTAGGCGCCACCTCGTGGAGGTCCAATCGCTTGTCGTTTGTTGCCCATTCTAGCTGTGAGGCTGAGATCTACGCTGGTGCCATGGTGGCACAGGAGCTCCGCTGGCTGACTTTCTTGCTCACAGACTTTGGTGAGCGACCTAGCTCTGCCCCGGTCCTGTACGCTAACAATAGGGCCATGATGCTCCAGTGTCAGGAGCCCAGACTGGAGGGCAGAGCAAAGCACATCCAGCTGCGGTACTTCCTCCTACGCGAACTACAGCAGCGTCGTCAGGCTCGCGTAGTTCACTGGACCTCTGGTGCTAACACAACTGATATCTTTACGAAGGCGCTTGTGCCTAAAGATCATCAGCGGCACTGTTTACAGCTTGGTCTAGTTCCTGTAGCTTCTCACTTGCTAGGACCCTGACTGTATACTACTCCTTATATTATCTTGACTGGCCTTGTGGCTCTTGTTCTAGTGGCTGTACTAGTAGTGTCGCCCTGGATTGCTCTTTTTTATTTTGTACTCTTCCTGACTGGTCTTCACACCCTTGCCTCAGGGGTTGGACTAGTAGTGCCACCCTGAGCTGCGTGTCTTGTACTAGTCGCTGCCCCTTGTCTAGCCTAGGGGGTGTGTCAACATATAATTTGTATATGTTATAGGCTAGCTAGGTGCATGCCCATACAGAATACAACCCCTTAGGTTACATTCCCTTGTACTACCTCATTCTATTCCCTTGTTCTATGCTAAGATCATGCTGTATTTTCCCCCTAAGCACTAGAGAACTATTATGATGCCTGTCAACTCAGGGATCCGGCACATCAGGGAGGCAGAGAGGGGAACCTACAAATGAGTACGGGCAGCTGAAAGAAGAGTCTGTGACGTTTAGAAGGATTCAACACACTGTATACCATTTCGTCTCCTAAAGGACTTGCTCCCAGCATTCACAACAATAGCTCGCTCTATCTCGGGATGAGCCATACAATAACAAGTATTCAACTGCACCCAACAGCATTGCCATTTCGTACCGTTTCGTCTCGTACACGAGCCAACACCTACCACCGCCAATAACGCCGCGCTTCTCGCACGCCAGCTCGCTCACTCTGTCTACCCTCCGCAGGCCAAAGCCGCAAAGCATAGATCTCCCTCTATCCATCACTAGTACCCGCAATCATGGCGCAACTTTCACTGATCGGTACTCCTAAGGCCCACACAACCGCGCTCCTTGTGGCTCCAAACCAGGCCGTCAGCACCGCTGCTCCGATGCCACGTCAGCACGGGTTGTGGATCCTAAACCGGCGATTACCTTCAGGCCGCCATTTTGTATTATTCCAATGGTTATAAATGCCCAATGGGGGCACTTGCCCTGAGCTATTGGCCACCAAATCATAAGCCCAGGAAACTATCCAATATCTATTCCGATGGCAGCAGCAAGCCGGGCTAATATCAACCCGGAGTTAATCATCCTGACCAATTGGCGAATCCGCTACCCTATCGGCCGCTCAGAGTCGTCGAGCTGGCTTGCCTCCCAGCTTTCGCCATGTGGCGATTCACACGATCTGCACAACTGGCTTCAAATCCTGGAAGGGGTTCTTTGGCCACTTGCTCTCCCATGGCTCTTCGAGGAGGGGAGGGGTATGTTGCTGGGAGGGGAAGAGCACTGGGGAAACCGACTAGAGATTGTGAGCTCATAGGATCAGCGGTCAATGGCGGTCGGTTCTTGTGGCGAACGCTCAATGAAGTTCTGTGCCAAATGGTGGCGGCACACTCCGCCCGTGCTCAGGTTGGTCGTCGTGGCAGTGATGTTAACAGTGATGTTGATGGTGGTGGTAGCTGGGGAATGGGTAGGGGCGATGGTGGTGATGGTTACAGTGGTGGTGGTGGTGGTGGTGGTGGTGGTGGTGGTGGTGGTGGTGGTGGTGGTGGTGGTGGTGGTGGTGGTGGTGGTGGTAACAGCAGGGGCAGCAGTGGTGGTGATGGGGAGGGTGGTGGTGGAAGCAAGGGTCCTTTTAACCCTCTCCCCTGGGTGCTCCTCTTCCTCGCAGCTGAAGCTGCTGCTGCTGCTGCCATCGCCATGCTCTCGAGACCCTCAACCCCTCTCCCCCCTCCTTCCCCACCTTCTCCTCCTCCCCCTCCTCCCCTTCCTCCCCCTCCTCCCCCTCCTCCCCCTCCGCCCCCTCCTTCCCCTTCTCCCCCTCTTCACGTCTCCCCTCTCCCCGTGCAGTCCTCTCTTCTTTTCACCCCCCATTCATCTGCTCATCTCTCCACCAGTCGCTCTCGTCGCCATCCTATTCCCTTCAGAATCTTCCTTCACCCACCCCTAACGGTGCCAGTAGCAGCTGTAGTGGTCGTGGTTTCACTAGCGTCTGTATTCTTTAAAAGGTTGCAACGCCATCACCCACAAGAAGTGGAGGATCATAGACACACGAATGGTGATGTATAGGCAGACAGGCTTGTATTTATGGCAAATGAGTGCTGGAGGCACCGTACCAGACGAATCGAGCAGAGCCGTTATGTTTGAGATGCGCATGAATCACGCCTGGTTTATGACTAATGAGTGTATAATGACTTGCTTTTAGTACGCAATCAAACGCCATACTAGGACATGCACAAACACATACCGTAACTTCCTCGTTTGCACCTTCGTGAACATTACTCAGCACTTGAGGACACGAGGCAAGGATTCCGGCTCTTCTATCTCACTATAGCAGCCCCCTTTCGCACTCGGAAGATCGTTTGTCTCGCGAACATGTTGTGAAGCATGTCCACCCATGAATCCAGCACACCAGGGAGGCAGTAGTGCACGCAATAATTGTTAACACCGGTCTGGGCGGTAGAGAGAGGAGGAGGTGACGTCTAAGAGGCGGATTCTCGTCCCCTTTCCTGCACGCTGCTGGGCAGGCAGCCATCGGGTGTACTGAGGGATCTTATAGCAATTTTGCACAACCTGAGGTCACAGGAGGGTGACACATGAAAGAATTAGGACAAGGAATGCTGCACCAAAGTTCACTGACCTGTAGGGTAATCAACCATGCCGCACCGCACTGCACCTACCCGAGTATAGGTGAGGGGCTGCGAGTGGCCCTTGCAGGGGTTGATCTTGGCTGGAGCAGAGAGGAAGAACGGCACGGGCGTGCGTGGAAAGCAGGGGTGGCGGGGTTGGTACGGTTTAACATAGCCACTACGGCACGCATGCCTCTTCTGTTGGGGTGGAAGAGATGGAGGGTAAGAGAGATGGGAAGAGAGGGGATGCACGAAAAAGGGTAGGAAAGACACGGGCGTGCGTGCAACAGCGGGGGTAGTGGGGTTGGTGCGATTCAAGGGAGCCACTATGCCCCTTCTGGTTGGGGAGAGAGAATAAAGTTGCGGGAAAAAGGGGAGATGAAGAAAGAAGAGCAGAGGGAAGGGCATGATGGCAAAATGCGGTGTGAGAGCAGGTGGAACAAGGAGCGGAGGAGGTACTGGCACTTCTACAAAAGCTCCAATATACTGCCTCTCTGCCCATACCACAAAACGCCCCCATTTACCCTAGCGAGCAGCATGCATCATTCAGCGACAGAAGCACCACCCACCCTCACGCCCTCTCTGCTCCCACGCACGGGCACGGCAACTCGGGAGAGCTAGAGGAATCAGGAGCGAAGCGGGAAAATCAGGAGCAAGCGGAGGGGCAGGAGGAGGGGCGAGAAGAGGGGCAACAGCATGGGGAGGGGCAAAGGGAGGGGCAAGGGGAGGGGCAAGGGGAGGGGCAAGGGGAGGGGTACTTTCATGGGCACAACGAGGAGCAGCCATCTTTCAAGGGTAAAGAAGAGCCTATAGCGGAGCCACCATGCACCGAGGGAGCAGGGACCTTGGATCGCCAGCTGTGCCATCAGAGCAAGTAGGAGAAAGGGATGGGTGTGGAGGCAGGGGGAGGGGCCGAGGGGGTTTTGAGGCGGGTTATAACAAAAACCAGGGGGCTTGGGGTGGGCAGCTGTGCCGTCAGAACGAGTAGGAGGAGGAAGAGGCGGGAGAGGAGGCAGGAGGAGGGGACGAGGGGGGGCAGTGGAGCTGGAGGTAGCACGGAGGGTGAGTGGGGAAGAGGGTGGGACGCCCATGGAGGTTCAGTCGCATGCTGGTGGGTGTGATGCACCGGTGCAGGAGAGAGGGGGAGGGAAGGTGGGGGACGGGTTGACGCGTGACTTCCCCGCTGCTAAGAGGAGAAGGAAGATGGAGAAATGGCCTGGCGAGAAGGGGAGGATAAGGGAGGAACAGGGCTATCAGCGGGAGCAGGTGGTCCAGGAGAAAGTTCAGGTGCCAGTGGAGGAGTTGCACAGGCCTGGCACGTCGACGGGCAGTGGAATGGCTTCCCAACAGGAGACAATGGAGCAGGATACGGAGCCGGCGCAGAAACGGGCGTGCGTTGGAGGGAAGGGGGCACAGGACGTACAAAAGGAGAGAGAAGAGAAGGTGGCAAAGGAGGGGGAAGAGAAGGGAGGGAAAGAGAGGAGTGAGGATGCAGCAGAGGAGGGCAGGCGAGAAGGACAAGGGGAGGAGGGAGAGGGGAGTGAAGGGGACCAGTACCACTGGCTCAAGTACGGACAGAAGGTGCTGATGGAGAGAGTTTATGCACGGTGAGTGAGGGAGTGAGTGAGACAACACACGGTGAGTGAGGGAGTGAGTGAGTGAGTGAGACAACACATGGTGAGTGAGGGAGTGGGGGAAGCGAGTGAGTGAGGGATTGAGGGAGGGAGGGATGGAGTGAAGACTCCACACGGTGAGTGAGGGAGGGAGTGAGTGTGAGTGCGACTACATATGGTAATTGAATGAGTGAGTGAGTGGGGGAAGGAGTGAGACGACAAACAGTAAGTGAGGGAGTGAGTGAGGGATTGAGTGAGAATACACATGAGAGAAAGTGAAAGTGAGTGAGTGAGGCTACATGCGGCGAGTGAGGGAATGAGTGAGTGAGGGAGAAAGTGAGAGTACACAAGGTGAGTGAGGGAGTGAGGGAGTGAGGGACTTTGGGAGGGAGAGAGGGAGACTACGCACGGTGAATAAGAGAGTGAGTGAGTGATTCTACAAACGGTGAGTGGGTGAGTGAGTGAGGGAGTGAGTGAGTGAGTGAGACTCCACACGGTGAGTGAGGGAGTGAGTGAGTGAGGGAGGGAGTGAGACTACACATAGAGAGTGAAAGAGGGAGTGAGTGATTGAGACTCCACACAGTGAGGGAGTGATTGAGTGAGGGAGGGACTGAGTGAGACTGCCCACAGCAGCAACAGCAACAGCAGCAACAGCAGCAACAGCAACAACAGCAACAGAAACAGCAGCAACAGCAGCAGCAGCAACAGCAGCAGCAGCAGCAGCAACAGCAGCAACAGAAGCAGCAGTAACAGCAGCAACAGCAGCAGCAGCAACAGCTACACGCTGCTGCCATCCTTGCTGCTGCCATTGCTGCTGCTGCCAATACCCCCTCTGCTGCGGTTGCTGCTTCTGCTGCTTCTGCTTCTGCTGCTGCTTCCTGCGCTGCCGCTGCCACTGCTAATGCCCCACTGCCAACCAGACTCACTGCTGCATCGACCTCCTCTTGCTCTGGTATGCCACCCACACACCCACTCAGCACTGCGCGCGAGGGCTGTACATGCACTACTGCCTCATATCAGAGCAGCCGGAGGGTGATGAAAGGGGAACCAGGGGAGCCAGGGGAACCAGGGGGGGGTGAAGAAGGAGGAGAGGCGCTGCAGGGACCAGAACTGGGAAGATCCATTTCCACAGCGCACTCGATTCCCAGTGCTGCTGGTGCTGCTAGTGTTGCCGGTGCTTCTGGTGCTGCCGGTGCTGCTGGTGCTGCCGGTGCTGCCTGTGCTGCCGGTGCTGCTGTTGCTGCTGGTGCTGCTGGTGCTGCTGGTGCTGCTGGGACTGTGGCCAAACTTATCGCTCTCACTGCTGCGGTGACTGCCGGGCATCCTGCCGCATGGGCAGCACCAGCCCACCCGACTGCTGGGCAGCAGCAGCAGCAGCAGCAGCAGCAGGCAGCACCATTAGCTGAAACACACGCACCCAGGGAGGTTTCTTCTCTATCGGTCCTGTCCTCTCCGAACCTGTCCTCTCCGAACCTGTCCTCTCCGGTCCTTACCTCTCCGAACCTGTCCTCTCCGGTCCTGTCCTCTCCGGTCCCACCCTCTCCGAACCTGTCCTCTCTGCTCCTGTCCTCTCTTCCCAGAGCAATGCAGGATGCAGCCACCCCTGCATCTCCTGTGCTTGCGCAACCAACCATAGCTGCAGCATCGGTCACAGCGGCACCTTCATTTAGAGCTGGACTAACAGTTACAGGTGCACCTTCAGTTACAGCCACACCATCAGTTGCATCAGCACACTCGGTTGCAATGACGAGCCTCGCTAATCACATGGGTATGCCACAAATGGATTGATCTGGCAGTGGTAGAGGAGCGGAGGGAAGAAGCGCGCCGGTGAGCAGTCTGCATCCTTTGCAGTACTTGCCTGAGGCAAAGCCCACCCAAGCCTCAAGCAGTCAATGCCACACGGGTATGCCACAATTGGAGTGGCCTGGAGATGGTAGAGGAGGGGAGGGAAGAAGCGTGACGGTGGGCACTCATCATCCTCTGCAGTACTTGCCTGAAGCAAAGCCTGCTCAAGCCTCAAGCAGTCACCGCCACGCGGGTATTTCACAAACGGAGCGGTCAGGAGAGGGTAGAGGAGGGGAGAGAAGAAGTGTGCCTGTGAGTACTCTGCATCCTCTGCAGTACTTGCCTAAAGCAAAGTCGGCTCAAGCCTCAAGCAGTCACCGCCACACGGTTATGCCACAAATGGAGTGGTCTGGAGATGGTAATAGAGGCGGGGAGGGAAGAAGCGGTTACCTTTGTAACGGAAGGACAGCTGTGGAGAAGGCTCAGGGCTCCGAGAATGATGGCGATGCCAGTGCTGTAGTGAAGATGGACCTTGATCCAAACTTGTAACATAAATGCATGACTCATGTACACTTATATAGTAGTAAACCTTTTACCACGGACCGGCCTGAATCGAACAAGTCTCAGCTCACTCAACTCAACTCTCCGTGCTGGTGGTGCTGCTGGGGCTGCTCTGGCTGCTGCGGTTGCCGCTGCCGAATTTATTTCACTACCTGCTGCATTACCCGCGGCTGTTGTACCTGCTGGTATCCCTGCTGCTCTGCCTAAAACGTCGGCAGAACTTGCCGTTATGGCCGTTACTGTTAAACAAGCTAGATAAGGAGAGGAGCCATGGAAATTGCGTGAGGGTTTAGGTGCTAGGAGAAAGTTACGAGAGGAAAGAGACTTGGACTAGAAGAGAACGAGATACAAGAAGTGGGGGTTGTCCCCTCTACAGTAGGATTCAGGAATGTAGCAAACATACCAAGCCTAAACAATTATATACATAATATATAATTTGACAGTTACTACCTCTCCTTTCGCTCACTTCCTTCAACCAAACCCTGCTGGCCCTGCCATTCTCTTGCCTACCCATCGTTCCTCAACCGCGTCATAACCAGCTGCAGTGCATGCATCTCCCAGAGAGCTCTTTTCTTTTCTCTTTTTTTTTTTCCGCCATCTCTGCCTGGCACAATGCTGAATGCAACCTTCCTTGCAACTCTCCATAGACGATCAGTCACAGCTTCAGTTGCAACTACACACTCGTGGTTGCAGCTACACCCTCAGTTACAGTTACACCCTCTGTTGCAGCTATACCCTTCACTGCAGCTACACCCACTACTGCAACTATACCCTTAAGTGCAGAGAAACCCTCTGTTGCACCTACACCCTCGAGTGCAGCTACACCCTCTTTTACAGCTACACTCTCTGTTGCAGCCAGCCACACCCTCAGTTGTGGATGCAGCCTCAGTCGCACCCAAGCTTCAGGTACAGATATCAAGAGCCGTGCAAATGCAGTCATTCCTGCTGCAGCTGCATTCCCATGAAGAGCACTCCCTAATGCTGCCACTGCTTCTTCTTGCGTGCCGGAAGCCCTGACATTTGTGCCACATCAGCAGCCAGAATCAGGCCAGAAGCCGTCCACTCATCCACAAATGCCGGCCTAGCAACCAGCCAATTCCTCATATCACACACCAGCTCGCTAGGGAATGTGTCGTTAAGCGTATCACATCCTTTCCATCATTCGCCCAATGCACAACCAGACCATCCCACAAGCACCCGCCAGATGGATGGTTATGGATGTCAAACATATTTGTATATGTTATAATAGGCTAGATAGGTGCATGCTCTTAGAGGGTACAACCACTTGAACAAAATCAACCTGTATGCCTCATTCTAGTTAACTTTCTACTCAAGCATAATATCACGCGCTAGGTTAGGTCCTCCCCGCCCACCCGTGCTTCCGCTCTCGTCCTATTCCTTGCCGCCCGCTCCTAGCCGCCCCTTCGCGCCCCGTCGGCCCCGTGCGCCCCACTGGCCCGTTAGCGCCCTTCCGGCCCCATTAGCGCCCCGTCGGCCCCGTGCGCCCCCTCTGGCCCGTTAGAGCCCTGCCGGCCTGTTAGCGCCCCGTTAGCGCTCCGTCGGCCCCCTCTGGCCCGTTAACGCCCGTCGGCCCCGTTAGCGCCCCGTCGCTCCCATGCGCCCCCTCTGGCCCTGCTCGCCCCACCGGCGTGCTAGCATCCCGCTGGCCCGTTAGCGCCCTGTCTGCCCCGTGCACCCCTCTGGCCCTGCTCGCCTCACCGGCCCGTTAGCGCCCCGCCGGCCCGTTAGCGCCTTGACGGCCCCGTTCGCGCCCCGTCGGCCCCGTGCGCCCCTCTGGCCCCGCTCGCCCCACCGGCCCGTTAGCGCCCCGCCGGCCCGTTAGCGCCTTGACGACCCCGTTCGCGCCCTGCCGGCCCCATGCGCCTCTCTGGCCCCACTCGCCCCACCGGCCCGTTAGCGCCCCGCTGGACCGCTCGTGCCCTACTGGCCCCGTTAGCGCCTTGTCGGTTCCGTGCGCCCCTCTGGCCCTGCTCGCCCCGCCGGCCCCGTTGGCGCCCTACGGGTCCCGCCCGCGCCTCGTCAGCTACGTGCGCCCCGTCGGCCCTCGCCAGCCGGTCGGCCAGCAAGCCGCCCAACCAGCCGGCTCCAGCCTCGCTGGCTCCCACTTCAGCGGCCAGCTGCCGGACCGTCGAGTCCCAGCGCCGACCCACCGGCTCTGGCTCCCTTCAGCGCCGGCTTCCCTGCAGGCTGTCTCCATCGCTCTCCACTGCTCTCCACCGCACTCCACTGCACTACACCGCATTCCACCGCACTCCACCACACTACACCGCACTCTACCGCACTCCACCGCACTACATCGCACTCCACCGCTTCCTCCACCTGTCCTCCTCACTCTGTCAGCAGCTGCAGTAGTGGCGATGGCGGAGTCACAGCTCCGTCTGGACACAGAGGGTCAGGCGCTCGACTTTGAGGCGTGGCTCGTCTACCTTCGGCGTCACCTTATAGGTCAGTGTTAGGACGGTCACTCCCTGGCTGTTCATGTTGATGGCCTGCTTCCCCGCCCCCCTACCCCTACTGCCCTCCCTGATGCCCCCACCACTGCTGAGCGTGAGGCATTTTCCGCTGCTGCGCTTGATCGTGCCGTCTGGGACTCGCGCGGCGATGTCGCCCAGCTTGCTATCAGCCGTGCGCTCTCGCTGTCGAAGCGTCCTTGCTTTAACACTATAGCGAACTCCCAGGCCTTTTTAGATGCTGCCATTGCACACTATTCCACCCCCGCCACTACCTCTGCTAGTCGTTGGATCCTTCCCATGATGTTCCCTGATCTTGCGTCCTTTCCCACTGTCGCCAACTTTGCCACGCACGTCCTTGCACTTGAGACAAGCTACCGCGATGCTAGCACTGAGGTACAGCTCACTGCCTTCCTGCTGCCGTTCTACGCTACCCTTTATCTCATCGCCGCGCGCCTCCCTGACCGCCTAGCCACAGCCCGCGACCACTTCCTTAGTCAGCACCCGGGTGACCTCACTCTCACCGCCTTTATCACTGGCCTGTCTGAGATACAGACCCGCCAGCGCAGTATCGCTCAGTCTAGCGGTACTGCGGCGGTACCTGTCTTTCAGGGCTGTGCTCTCTCCCAGTGCACTTACTATGGCGTCTATGTTGCTGTTGCTGAGACCGCTAATGCGGCCTCAGCGCAGAAGCATCCGGGTAAGGGTTGCCACTCCAAAGGGGGGCGTGGTGGGGGGAAAGGGGGTGGCGGTGGGGAGGGTGGCGGCGGTGAGGGCGGGGATGGTGGTTCAGACGAGGGGACCGGGGCTGGTGCCACGGAGCAGCCACAGCAGCAGACGCAGCCTCAGCAGCAGCAGCAGCAGACTCAGCAGCCGCAGCCGCCGCTGCAGTCGTCGCAGCAGCAGCAGACGCCGTGGGGATCCCCACCACCGTGGTGGACTGGCGGGGGTGGTCGTGGGGGGGGG